GGCGTCCTCAGGCCGGCCGCCTGCATTTTGCTCACGCTGAGATGCAAGGAGCCTCTGCCGGGGATCAGCGGCCTGGCTGGTGTGTGTGTGGGCGGGGGGGGGGGAGTTCCTCAGGGATCCTGGGTCCAAGCCATGAAGGAATTTAAAGGTAATGACTGCACTAAGCTGTGCGTGGAAACAAATTGACGCTTTGTGATTCTTGCAGCGTCCGACAGCAAAAGAGCTCCTGAAGCACAAATTTATTCTGAAAAATGCCAAGAAGACTTCTTACCTGACGGAGCTGATTGACAGATTTAAGCGATGGAAGGCGGAAGGGCACAGCAGTGACGAGACAGACTCCGACGGTTCCGATTCGTAAGTCCCGGCTTGGCGCCGCTCGCTGGGGGCGAAGCCCTAGGGCTCGGCTTCGCTTCCCTGCTTGTCGTGGCGTGGAGGGGCGAGGCAGCCAGCGCAGCCTGTGTCTGGAGCGTGCGCGGGGGGCCCTTTTCCAGGGCTTTGCAAGGACTGGCTGCCGTGTGCTCCCCACGCTGGAAGGGGCAGCCCCGATTCCTCACCCCAGCAGCCTGAGGGAGGCAAGTGCTTCTGCCCCACGGGCAGCCCCCGCCTTTTTTTGGTGGAGAAAGAAGCAGCACGTCTGTGGCCAGTGCCCCGGAGAGGAAGGGGAAGGCGGCATGCAGGCCTCGGGGGCACTCGGGCCAGCCAGGAATTTCCTCCTTCCTTTCCCAGAGCAGGGCGGGGGGGCTGGTTTGGCCCTGCGTGGCCCGGCCGAGGCCCTCCGGGCAGCTCACCCAAGCCGCTCTGGGCGCCCTGGGACAATCCGTGCTGACCACTGCGGTGACGAAGGGGGGGAAGGCTCGCCCCGCATCATGCGAGACACGTTCAGCGAGCAGTGCGGGCAGCCATCCAAGGGAGAATCGGCGTCCCGCAAGAGCAGAGCTTGGGCCCGCTGGCCCTCTGGCCCCTTCCAACTCCACTGTTGTGATTCGACGCACCCCGGAGCGCAGGGCCGCTTATGCCTCGCACTGCAGGGTGAGCCGCAGTCCTGAGGGCCACTCCACTCAGAATTTGGGCCAGGAGGTCCCTTGGCAGCCACTTGTGTGTGGCTGTTTAAAGTCCAGAAGGTGGAACTTTACGTTCCAACGCGGTCTTGAGCGGAGGAGCGTTAATTGTAGCTCCCGTGGACTGTGCACCGTTTGGAGTGCAGAGAATGCAGCCTGCCGGTATTTAAATCGATGTGCCTTCACAGAGCATCTCCGGGCCCCTCGAAATCCTGGCTCTGGCAGCCGTTTTAGCATGCAGGCGTTCATTCCCATTGGATGGTGGGTGGGATGTCATGGGGAGCAATTTGGTGAAAGGTCATCTTCTGAACTCCCGGAGAGCCCCCATGTCCCTCGCTTCCCCTGTACCCCCCCCGCACTTGAGCCCGATTCGTCCCTGCCCAGGGCCTGGACCCAGAGCACTCCCAGGTTCCCACAGGGTCATGCGCGTCTTCCCCGTATTGGAGGCAGAGGCATCATGGCAGGGGGGTCGTGTGCCTCGAAGAAAAGCAGCCGCTGCCTTGCCGACAGGTTTCAGTGGCCAGGGCAGAGCAAACTGTGCGGGAAGTGTGTGTGGTTCAGCCACTGGGCGGCCAGAGGTCCTGCGTTTGCCGCCACAAAGGCAAGAGGCCCAGGCAGAGCCGCAAAGTGGCGAATGCTTTCATGCCCTTGGTCAGAAGGAACCGGTGACGGGCGAGTGGCATTTGCTTGTGCCTCGAATGGGGTGGGGGTGAGGTCTGAGGGCAGAATGTGTTCCTTGCCCGTCTCTCTGAGTGCCTCTTTTGGCAAGACGCACACTGTGGAGGGCACGCGGTGTGTGCCAGGGTCCCCAGCGCCACAGCCGTCCGGTCACTCAATGCCTGCCTCCTTCCAGGAAAAAACAAGGTACAGGCAGTTGTCTGAATGGTGCCTAGCCATTCAGCGGGCGGGAGAGAGAGGGCCAGGCAGAGGGGAGAGGAATTGCAAGGGTGGGGAGGCAGCCAGCTAGCAGGGTGTGCGGGGGGGGGGAGCACAAGGCCCGGGCCCGAGGGGGGAGAGAAGGAGAGCAGCAAGGGGCGAGGAAGGGGGTGGAAGGGAAACGGTGAGGTAGGCCGGGCATGGAGACGGAGAGCAGGCGGAAGGACAACTGGGAAAGGGCTCTGGGAACCGAAGCGGCTTGGGCAGGAAGCACCGGCCCCCTCTGCCCTCACCCTGCCATCCGCTGGCCAGCCAGCCAGGCCCCACAGCAGCCGCTTGGAGACCAGCCGCATCTTCTTCAGGAGCCATTTTGCGGTGGTGCCCACAGAAGTTTCTGACATCCCCACAGGTGCCCCCAGCCTCAGCACATACAGTTTTTAAGTCTTTTAAGTGGGGCAGGTCCATGAAGGCATTCTCTCAAACTTTGGTCATTCCTTCCTGCTTTTCCATTAGTGAGTCCAGCAACAAGGAGAACAATTCTCACCCAGAGTGGAGTTTTACTACAGTTCGGAAGAAACCCGACGCCAAGAAACTGCAGAACGGAACAGTAAGTCCAACCAGAATCTCTTTATATCCTCATCGCTTTGGAAGCTCTTTCTGGCAGACCGCTAACCCTTGGACACCTGGGAGCAGTGACTACGGAATGGGGGGAACGTGCTGTTTTAAGAAACGTTCACCATCCCATATTCATAATTATCTGAGGGTTAAGATTTAGCACAACCCCACCACTGTCCTTACAGACTCGCAGGGTTCCAATTTGTGGGGCGCAGCCAAGAATTATTTATTGTTTTGATGTCTGTGCCACAGCAGTAGCCTGCACGTGGCTCTCTGAGCGAATTGCCAGAGTCATGCTGACAAACCCTGCTCTGAACGTGCCGACCACCGACTGTCGATCACTTCCGTTACCGAGGTTAGGTCACCATGACAGAACCCACAAGCTGGGCTCTGCACTGGCATGGCTACTCCTGACGTGAAGCGGAACATCTTGAAATTTTACATTCCAGGCTTGTTTTATCGACTTCATGCTGTTAGCTGCTTTGGAAATTATTTTAATAAGGAGAACGCATCGTTAAGGTCAGCAATCCAGAGGGGTCTGGCTGCAAGCAGAACTGCTCCATGGCATTCCGCCCCCCTTCTCTGGATTTATTTATTTATTTAATTAATTTATTAAGATATTTGTATGCCGTCCTTTGCGAGAGCCTCAGGATGGCTTCCACAAATAAGATTCCAATACATAACAGTATAACATAAGTTAGCGACCCACTCTGGCTGCAGTTAAAATATGGTAATAAAATTCAATATTAAAACTTGTTAAAATATTGATTAAAAAGGCCTTAACCTGGCACCGAAAAACATACAATGATGGCACCAGGCGGACCTCTCTGGGGAGCACATTCCACAGTCGGGGCGCCACCGCAGAGAAGGCCCTCCTCCGGGTGCTTTGCCTCCTGACGTCTCTCACGGAGGGCTCCCGGAGGAGGGCCTCTGCTGCCGATCTCAGGGGGCGGGAGGACAAATAGGGAAGAAGGCGTTCCTTTAGGTATCCTAAAGGATTCAAACTCGTCTCCTGGTGTGCCGGAAGCACTGGCTGCTTTTGCCACTAGGTTGCTCTGAACTTCTGAGCGGTCGCTGCAAGCAACCCAGGGGAGGCAAGGGGGCTTATGGAATCTCTCGCCTGCTTGTTTCTGCGGATGCTTTTTCTCGTCATTGCTGAATTCATTGAGGGGAAAACAGCACAGCAAGGTTGTCTTGGTTATTTTGTCCAAGTTTTCCTGATTTTGTGGGCCCCTTGAGCTGTTTTCAGCAAGGCACCGATCTCATTGGTCTTTCCTCTTCTTTTCTTTGGGGTGTGGATTGTCCGTGGCTTGTTACCTTGATTAGCCTACACTTCCCTGCCTGCCTGCCTGGTTCCATCCCAGATATGTTGGGTGCTGCAGATTAAAACTCTAGGAGGGAACTGGCTGGGGAGAAGTCTGCTGTATAAGATTCACTCAAGCTGGTCAAGAGGCTATCTTAGGTATATTTGGGTATGTGGTATTTCTGAAAGGGCCGTAGCCACAGCCCTGGTCGAAACTGCACCACCCAGAAAAGTCTTGCTGCTGCTGCTTGCATGGGAGCATGTCCACACGCAGGCACGGCTGAGAGGCAGGCGGTGATGGGGGCTCCTCAGTGCAGGAGAGGCAGCGATCCACAGGGCCTGTTCACTGTAATTCTCAGCACATGTTTGCATGTGGTATTTTTGAACTTCCAGGACCAAGATCTTATGAAAACCCTGAGCTGTTTAACAGTGATCATCGCACCTGTATTTGCTGAGGTGAGCATTGTTTGATCCCTGTTCGGGGCACGATCATTCAGGCTGCAAATCCCTGACCTTAGCTTGTTTGGCTCTCTGTCAGCTTAAGCAGCAGGATACAAACAACGCTAGCAGGAAGAAAGCAATCGAAGAGCTTGAAAAAAGCATCACTATGGCCGAAGCAGCCTGTCCAGGCATCACGGATAAAATGGTGAAGAAACTGATGGAGAAATTTCAGAAGTAAGCGCACGGGGTTTGTGCTTAATTGGTTGTGTCGTTGATCACTTCACTTCCTCTTTGCTGTGCAAGTCTGGAGGAAGTGGGGATGGGGGCATTCCAGATGTGGGCGGCAGGTGTGTGCGGACTGAGCAGAGCTGGGGGGCCACACCCAGAGGAGGGAAGGGGTGGCCAGACTGATTCTAAGAGGAGATTGGCGAGAATCTAGAAGGCAATCGAACACTTTCTCCCTGCTTCTTTCCTCTAGGTTCTCCGTTAACGACGCCTCCTAAGAAATGATTGGTGATGCAGTCCCACACGGACCCGGCAGAGCCCGCCAGAACCTACTATAACCTTGGCAGCGCTTTGTTCATGAGCTCCTTGTGCCTTTTTGGATCATTGCAACATATTTGACGATCGGGGATTGGCAAGGACTGAACTCCACTATGTTGTGATGGGTGTACACGCTTTTTTTGTATTTTCAGGACATTCTTTTTTGTAAAGAGCAACTTTTAATATTGTAGTTTTCACCTATAATCCAGTTAAGAGAAAAACAAAAACAGTGAGGTACAGTTTTGCTTCTAAACATAACGAGGGGCTTCCCAGTTGCCAAGTTCCACGTGCAGGCTCTGGGGTGTCCACACCCCTCTACTTGAGGTCACGGAAAGTACGTGTGTTTCAACATGTTGTGACTCTCCGAAGAAGTCTGGTTGCCGTCTTCTTTCCCCTCCTCCCTCCCTCCCTCCCTACCGTTCTTTCTCCTTAGGTCTGCATCAGTTGCAACTCCTCTAAGGCAGAAAGGCCAGGCTTCAAAACGCTTTTCCACCAGAACAGGTGTGCAGGCACTTGCAGATGCCACATCACCCCCGTCTTCACTGAGCCCTGTGATCAACACTGCCCGCTGTTTGGGGGATTGGTACAGTATTCTGGGTAGCTCTGGCTCGCCTCCACTTGAGAGCAACGCGTCAGCTTAGGGTACCGTTTGTTGCATCACCTTCTCGAGCAGGATTCCACGTAGCCATTCATCACAGTAGGACATTTTGAAGCAATACTGTTTGAAGGGCAGGGGGCCTTTGGCAATAATGGACACGATCCGGCTTAATTTAAACGTTTGTTCCTCATTTCTTCCTTTCTTGTTATTTTAAGGAAACGGAGGGAAGGTAACTCATTTTGTCTTTGGGGTGGGGACCTGGGAGGATACCATGGCATGCGATAAATACAGCGCAAGCAGGTGTAGCTGTGTGACACCAGCGTTTTGTGTGCTGGTGTTTTTCCTGTAAGGTATTTATACACTTATGTTCTTAAAGTACATCACATACAGTGCATCACCATATGTTTTAACTTCCTCTACCCCAAAGTGTATTTTAAATATGTATTTACCAGTTAATATGCAAATAACTGAGTTATAGATATTCTTTCACAAAAAGATAGTACTGTGCAGTACGGAGTGATTTTTTTTCATAAAAGGTAGATAAAATTATAAACTTGCTTTCAACTATATATTTATGGTACTGTTTAGATGGGGATAATATCTTTTTTTCCTTTTCAACCCGGTATGTATATTATGCTGAAGTTTGAAGTGGGGTAGTATTTTAGTCCTTAGCTGTGGAATTGTTGGTGTAAATTTATTTTTGATAAAACTCTGGATGTGTTTAATTTTATAGTTTGGATCTGCACATTTTGTTTTTGCACAAAAGTCATTTTAAAGGATTTGAAATATATCTGCCAAATACTGAAAAGAGTTAATGGAGTGCAAGCAAATATTGATTTTTTTTTTTTAGTTAAAAGTTGCCATTACATCCTTTTTTAAAAAGAAAAAAGTTATAAAGACACTGGCGAGAGACGGTGGTTAGAAATGCCAAGGGCAATTATTTTCAATGGTGCCTACACTGTAAAAAAATTACTTTTAACTCCTTTGTTTTAATTTTAAAGAAAAGTTTGTTAAAAACTTTCATCGCTATATAACTGAAACGCAATTAGAATTTATATCTGAGGAAAAAAGTCTGGACATAGTTTTTGAAAACAATAATGTTATGGATTAAATAAAATATTTTTATAAATGTAAAAGCAGCAAAAGTTGTAAATACTGTTGACCCGAAGCTTTACAAAATAACTGCACCACCGACACAGAGCTGTGGTGCTCGTCGCTGTAGCTGTTCTTTCTGTGAATCCGCTTTTAGGTGACGCTTCTCTTGGTGTGCTTTGGGGAGGGGGGCAGGCAGGGGGCAGCCGAGCTGGATGGTTCAAAAAATAAATATTTAAGTTCTGTACGCTCTTGGAGTCATTATTTGTATGAGACGGGGGCTAAAAATGGATCCCGGGGGAAGGCCAAGCGTTCTGCTTGTAGGATGGTTTCATCTGTACTAAAGGTGGGAACCCCTTAGATCCCAGGGCCCAAATGCCAAAAAGACCAGCAGATTTTAGCTTGCTGTCAGTAACAGCATCACGAGGGCATTTCAGCTTTGCAGAATGATAGGAAAAAACACACAGAAATGGAAGATGCCGATTGCCAACAGGGAGCAAAGGACACCAGGTCAGTCTGGTTTGCCCCCTACCCTAAGGTTCCCCACCATGAAGTATGCCTGTTCTCCACATACATTGCCCACAAATTCAAATAGTCTCGCAATGCAACTCTGCATGCAGATGGTTCACAACAGCAGGTAACGCGGGGCAGGGCAAGAAACTCCCTTACGAATCTTCCACAGCCCACGCTACAGGAGATGAGCGTTATTTACGGAGGGCTCATCTGGAGACGGTGACGCTGTCCGTGAACCATGTAGCCTCGCGATTCTTTCTCCCGCAAGTGGCCAAGGACAGGCGTCCTTTCCAGAGAAAGGACGCCAAGGCCGGCCGTTAATGGAAAAGGTGGACAGGAAATGTGCACTGCAAATTTATTCAGCCCCATGCAGGACGGACCCTGGCCTTGGGCGTTTCCTGGACAGAAGCGGGTGCCCCTTTCCTCCAGACTGCTGATGGTTAGGCCGGTAAGCAAGCTGTTGGCTGGCTCCGATAGGTTTCTTTTGCATGACTTCCAGAATGGTCGCTTGTCATGACACACCGGGCATTTGTAGCAGTGGTGTTCAGAGTTTGTACTTTGCTAGCTTAAGAAATTACATCTCCCATGCCATTCTGGGATCCTTGCAGGGAGAAAGGAAATGCTTCACTTCAAGGAATCCCAATTCACTGTAGCTCCTCCTCACTAATAAACTAACCCCCCCCCCCACCCCGAGCCCTGCGTTTGCTTCCCTAAAAGATGGTGAATGTGCCCATAAGCAACTGGGCCCTTCAACTATACTTGGAAAGATCGAACATCCGCAGAAGACTGTTCCACGCCAGCCAGTGGCCAGAGGGGAACTCAGTCGTGTTATTTCTCAAAATAATGTGTTGGGGAAGGCAGAGATTCCCTCCTGCTGACTTTCTAAGACCCTGAAGCATCATAACACCAGAGCCTTTTCTACAGGTCATGGAGTCTCTGGCAAACTCCTTCACGCCACAGTTCGGAACGTTACTCGGGCCTGGGAAAACAGCAGCAGGCTGGGTCCTGTGGGTTAGGAGGGGTCTTCCTGCCCAGGAGCACTTGGCTGGACTTGGTCCTGAGTAGTGAAATAAAGGTTTCACGCCTTAAGTGAAATAATGGGACCCTCTCTGTGACGTTCGCTCATCCATGTTGGCGGTAGCCAAGCAAACCTCGTCATCCTCTCCCTCCAGTTGGAGGCTCCCGGAAGACAGCCGGACTCTTGCCCGGGGTGCCTTGACAGCTCTCCCATAGAGAGAGTAGTAGTCCGGCAAGAGGTCCGAATCCGAGTCGCTGGACTCTGTCCCACTGCCGCCAAAGCGTTCGGCAGCTCGCCGGGCTCTGGGAGGCTCCGGAAAGCCCTGCTGGGTCAGCACGAATTGCAGAATGTCCGCCTTCCTGCTGCTCAGGACAGGGCACGGTCCGAGCGGCCGGAACTCTGAGCCACAGGGGAACCGGATGGCCTTCATGTCCGACTGGCTCCAGGACCTCTTGGGCACCTGCTCCTGGGCACCGCAGGTGAAGGCCCCGCTGCCGTCCTCCTGCTCCATGCTGGCGCTGCTGAGATAGTTCGTCCTCGGCAGGGGCTCCGGCTCGGCCGCTCTCACTCTCGGCACACCCGGGCTTCTCCGCTGAGGCTTCGCGGGGGCCATGCCCAGGCTCCTGCCTCCAGCGGCTTCCTCCTCCAGGCCTGCGGTGCCATACTTTGGAAACTGCGGGGGCTTGTCTACGTAGAAGAAGACCTGGGGAGAGACAGTGTCCAAGGGGTAGGCAGTGGCTCTGCAGGGCACCTCTGTGTAAGCCAGCGGCCGCAGCGGCAGTGCCTCTGGCACGCTGCCAACAGACGTGCTTTTGCTGCTCCCGGCGAGCTTGTAGCTGGGCTGGAAGGAGGTAAGAGGGACCCTCTGCCCGTAGACGTCCGCGGGCTCCCAGTCTCGCTCCATCTCTGCGTAGACCAGCGGGAAGACGGAGCTGCTTTGGGAATGGGGCAGCAGGGTGGGATCGGCTTCCGGCTTGGAGCGCTCCAGCTCATCGGCGAAGATCACTTCCACCGCGGAGTTCCTCCGCCGGCTGTCCAGCGAGGGCTCAGAGGTGTGGATTCCGTTGGCACCGTGGTAGCCCCCCATCGTGCCATACACCAGGCGCAGGTCTTCCATCTGGAGGAGGAGGAGAATTCTCAGGCGGCTGGGCTCGAAGTGACAGCCTTTGCTTGATTGCAAAGGAACATTCAGCTCGCGCAGCTAATCTGCAAATGCTTCCGTGCAGGCAGCCTCTTTGGAGCACCCCCTCGGGGGGATGCACACCCCTTTATGCCATGGGGTTCTGCCTCCCCAGTTTGCCCATGCTCCCTAAGCCAGGTGGGGAATGCTTCAGCCACAGTGGTTCCCTGGGGGAGGTGGGCACACTCAAGTAGTGGGAGAGGCCCGCCTCCACTGCCAGCATACGGTTCACCTTGTGCTTCCCCAGAGAAAGTCCTCCGGGGCCGGAAGGACAGTTGGTCGGCAGCCCCTTCCCTGCCTGAAGGAGATGTCTCCCAGCCCTCGCCTGCGAAGAACTCCCTTCATCCTCGTACTTCCACCCTTTTGCAGTGCCCGTGTTCAGGTCCTCAGCTAGGACGGGAGTGGTGTGTTGCCCTGAGGAGCGGGACCAGCTGCCATGTCTGCTCTTCCCACTGGAAGAGGCCCAGGATGCAGCCCGACCCACCAGCATCCCTGACGGAGCGGTCCATGCCACTGCTGTTTCTCCAGGTATTTAGGAGGAATGTGCTTCCCCATAACTTCTATCCATTTGTTCACACCACACCTGCTCAAGAACAGAGCATGGCTCCCCCTTCCACCCTGCGGGTCTCCAAACACTGGAAGGCCATCTTCTGATCCCCTGCAGCCACTGGGAAGGTCACCGAGCTGCAGGGCAGCGCATCTGCAGGGGACCAGACCGGGAATGGCTGAGCTTAGGCCATAGGCTGCGTGTCACCTCGGCCATCACCGTTTCTGGCACCAGCTGAATCTGATGGTGGTGACCCGTGGTGGCTGGGTCCGAGCGGTTGGTCAACCAGCCAAGAAGCCGTCCTTGCTGGGTTCAGATGACATGAGAACCCGTGCCCGGCCAAGGTGGTTGCAAATCGATCAGCGCATGGCCAGGGTAGGTTTGGAGGCCCACCAACGGCCAGCCTCGTGGGCGACCTTGCCGGCACATGACCGGTGCCTCAGTCTTGCAGGGCTGTCCCCACAGGTGTCCAGAGACAGAGCTGGGTGAGTGAGGCCTTCCGTCGGTTGGGCTAAGGCCACCCCAGAACACACATGGGCCACCCGCGCCCGTTTCTTTCATGCGGTTCCCGCTCCATCACGACCCTCGCCGAAGTTACGTACTTGCTTGGAAACATCAGTGAGAAGGTCGGGGGATGACCGGCACTGCCTGTCATGGTACCGCGAGGGGTAGCGTTTCCTAGAATCCAGCACACAACACACAGAAAGGTGCACACTGGTTGTCGTCTCCTTCCAATACAAATCACTTCCAAGCACAAAGAACCCACCTCAGCGAACTGGCAACGTGCGATGGGCTCGGAATTGCCCCGATTATTTTCTGCAGACTCTGCCGAGCCTTCACTGGCACAGGGCCCCCACTCAGCCAGACCACAAGGCAGGCAGGGCGGAAAGGGCTTTAATTAAAATTTCAAAGGGGCGGTCAGTAAAGCCCTTGCTTAAATCTCTCCCCTTGACAAGAGCGGAACTTCAAAGCTCTTAACTTTGGCTGGAGGGTGGCAGATTATGACGCTGCCACTAACGAACGAGCCGGACAAAGCCACAAATCAATTATCAGCTCATTAAAATGTGAGGCATTCTACGACCAGCTTTTTTCCTCTGTGCAGGAAGATAATTTAGTTTGGATACATCATGGGAGGGATTTCTCCTTTGCCCAGCACAACTTGCATGTGCCAGCGGCAGGTGTTCCGCTCCCAAAGACCAGGGCCGGGGAGTCCACTGCGGTTGCCCCGCAGTTCTCCGGAAGCCACACGCCTTTCCCATGACCTTACCTACTTTCTCCAAACCCCCAATTTTTGGTGGCTTCCCAGAAATACCCCCACCCCACTTTTAAAGGGGTGATGCGGCTCGCCTGAGGTGTCCCAGTAAGAACTTTAAGCTAAACTCTGCAGGTGGTTTGGGCCCCTGGAGCACGTGGTTAGCCCTGGATCAGGCACTGCACACGTCTCCGTCCAGCAGCTTTGCTGAGGACAGTTCCAGCTCGCTCGCTCCCTCCATCCGTCTTTCCCTCCCTTGAAGCGAAGGAGGCCGTGGCAGAGCGGGGGGGGGGGTGGAGTGGCTGCACGGGGGTTACCTCTCAAAGGGCAGGCTCTTCAGCTTCCCCTTCGCCCCGTGCTCCAGCAGCTGCCTCTGGGTTCTTCCGCTGCCATTTAAGGACCAGAAACAGGTGAGGGCAGCTTGGCCTCCCAGCCCCCCCCCCCCCCCCCGCCTGCGCCCACCGGCGGGGCGCGAGCACCCACGTGCGGCACGGGGAAGACGCCGCACGGCGGGGCAGGAAGGCCGCTCCCTGTCGCCGCCCGGACGTTTGCCTGGCCTCTACCTGTAGCGGAAGCTGGAGCCCTTGCTGCAGAGGAGGGCTTTGGGCTTCGACTTTGGCTCCTCGGACAGCCGGAAGAAGGCGTGGTATTCCACGCACGTCTTCCAGAAAGCCTTGCAGGCGTCTCGGCTTGCCATGGTGAACTCGAGTGTATCTTTGCACAAAGCCTGTGGAGAAAGCCCGCGTCAGATGCGGAGTGCGAACGGGCACGGTTGCAAACAGCCTTTTAAGGATGTAACACTTCGGCCTGCGCGTGCACCCGAGCAAATCGAGGCAGCTCACACGGATCTCGCCCACTCCTTGGCTCCCCACACCGTTTACCCCACCCCAGCAGGTCTTGGGGGCACCGGGTGGCAGGACATCAGGACAAGGTATTGGGCTGCTTTGGGGCAAAACATCACGAAAGAAGCCACAAGGTGCTTACAGAAACGTTGGCATGAAGTTTGATCAGGAAATGCTTCCGTTTGAAACTCAGCTTGCGGATTTTGGACCAGTTGAAGGTGTTAATCTTGGTATTCCCCTGCAAATCAGAAAGTAAACCATGAATTGGGCATCGTGTGTAAGTTACAGGCAATGTGGCAGTAAATTTCTGTCCACTGTTGGTGTCATGCGCAACTCATTCCTCTAAGTTCAACAGTGAAAAATTAGGCCATGTCATTTACCAGTAAGCAAGAGAAATTGTGGTAGTGAATATTCCCACTGGGAAAACTACTTCGGTGGGAGTTGTTTCCTATTACTCCCGAGAACATTTAAAATAGGAATCTATGAATATGCACAGGATTTGCTCCGGACCTGATAATACTCAGAGTAGAGCCGTTGAATTAGTGGGACATAAGTTAGCCATGTATATGTTACTACATTCATATACCACCCGCAGCTGGAGCTCTCTCAGCACTTCACCACATTTCAAGCCACCCCTCCAGATTTCAACCAGGCCCAGCGCTGCTCAGCTTCCAAGATTGGGCAGATCAGGCCCCCTGTGCTATACAGAAGTTGTATAGGGACTTGTGTACATGAGGGAAGAACAAATCCATTGGCTTTCTGGTCCAAAAGAAAAGTGAGCTTTATTCAGGCTCCAGTTTCGGGTCAGAGCCACGTCTTGGACTACAGCTTTCAAAAATGATGCCACTGGCCCAGCTGGCTTGGGATGATGGGAGTTGGAGCCACGGATACCTGGACGGCCGCAGGTAGGAAGGAAATTGCAAATACTTGTTTGCATTCAATGCTGGGGAGACTGCTGTAAATTCTGTCTGACTCCTGCTTCCTCCCGGCCCTTAGGAATGGCAGCACCCACATCACACTGCAAGCACCAAGCCAAGCTATGCTGCGCAACTGCACTACCATGTAATTGCCCTCCAATTAGGCGGCTATTTTTGGCAGAAGATTACATGGTCAAGAGATGTCTTGCTGCTGGGTAACACCGAGTTCTGACAGTTCAGCAGGGTGGTTCACCAGGCGCAAACAGACAGGGACGCCCACATCAGAGGGCACGCGAGAGGCTCTGGCGGCAGGAGGGCTGCAGCGCAACACCAGCGAGCAGGGGAACTCAGAGGTGCTGCGAGAAGCAGGAATGCCTTCCGAGGCCTCGCCCTCGACCAGCGGACCTGACGGTTCGCTATGCTAGCTGCCCCAGTGCGCTTCGCCTGGAAGGCCCCCGGACGGGGGAGGCCTGCCTGAAGTCCGGCGAGAGGACAGGCTTGGTGAGACGCGGCCAGCTTGGAGCTGAGCGCCGCCCAGGGCCTGGGCGGAAAGCTGCACCTCCACACCGCAGATGCTCCCAAGGCTTGCGACTCCGCAGCCACTCCCCACACGTGACGCCTCCCTGCTTACCCGCAGAACCAGGACGCCCATGTGCGTGACGGCCAAGGTGATCTGGGTCCCTTCCCCGTCGCTGGCAGGGTGGGGCCTGATCCCATACATGTCCAGCTTTCTGGCTATGTCCAGGAGGTGTGCGTCGGATTCAGCGGGAGTTTTGCCTCTGGAAAGAAAAGGAGAGGAATACTGCCGGCTGACCCCCTTTGGAGCCCCCCGTGTCCTCCTCTCCGCAATTCCGATTCCATCGCTGGAGAAGCGGGGCATTTTTCGGCTCTCAAGTGGTGTCCCTCTTCTACCCCGGGGAACCAGTGGGGGCCAGTGCATCCTCCAGTCATGCTGGACAAGAACCTCCAGCACGCCCCAGCCAGCCAGCATCCAAACAAACTCTGGTCCAGGGGTGCCCAACCTTTTGGCTCCTCTGGGCAACACTGAAAGAGGAAGCACTGCCTTGGGCTGCACATTAAATACGGAAACACTGACACAAGCTGATGAGCGAAAAAAGGGTCTGTGCATAATTTTCGTGATACCCGCCACCACAGATAAGCAAAAGAGTTCTCACATCATCATCCTAAGAGAGCATACGTATGTTTATTTTATGTGACATCGTGCCATGACTTGGTCTACAAAGTTCACACCTGAGAACCACACAATCAAGTAACCGAAAAAAATCTCCAAATAAAATCTCATAATGTTTTAAGTAAGTTTATGATTTTGTGTTGGGCCGCATACATAGCCATCCTGGGCCGCATGTGGCTCGCAGGCTGCGGGTTGGACACCCCTGCTAGTCTCGTCCTTATGACTGCAGATGCGTAGTAGAAGGCACATAAAGTCTGTCAGGATTTCAGAAGCCAGAGGTGGATCGATCCAAGCCTAGGGTGGGGCAATGGAGTGGAAATGCAGCCCCCAGGAGGGCTTCGTTTCCAGAATAGTAAGGAAGGAATAAATTTTGGACACTTGCACCACTGGCCTAGTTTATACAATTTGCAGGATTCAGACTATCTCTGGATAGAACTTGGACTAATTTCAAACACAGGACAGAAGCACCCACAATATGGCTTCCCACTAAAACTTACACATGTTTCTTGTGGTAATGCATGATCTTGTTGGCCAAATTATCTTGGTTCTGCAGGTATTTGTGCATTTCCAGGTGCTTCCGATCTGTTTCTTCGTGGAAATCCCCCAGTGCAGCTGCAGCGGGAAAACAAAAAGAAAGAGAAAACTCCTTTGGAAGGCCATCAGTCTGCAAAGCACAGGGAGCAGGAGGGCATGGATATTTCTAGCTTATGGGATTCTTAAGACGTACATGCCCAACCAGACCTACGAGCAAAACAGTGGCTCTGAGGAGGAGTCCGTTAAGGAGGGCCAGCAGGAGTGGAATGGCAGGCCGCGGAAAGGCCGAGCATCTCACCTGTGCTACGGAAATCGGACACCTTGTCTCAAAGCTGGCCAGGAATGCGGTGGGGAGACCCGCTCCAAGGCACCAGCCAGATTTGCAGGCACAGCGGATTGGTGCCACAGCAGAGTTTGTTTAGATTCACAGTTTTAAAGAACGGCACTGTGGATCAGCCCCTTTTACAGCAGAGGAACACTGAGGCTCAGAAATGTATACTCTGCAGGCATTTGGCAAATAAGCGGGGCGGGGGGGGCTGGAGCCCCTCGGTGGGGAAAGACTCTGGAGGAGAACAAGGTGCCCTGTAGACTCCCAGGTTGGCAATCAGAAAACCAGACTCGCCTACTGCCAGTCGCTGCCGGCTGTGCCCACTGATCCTCTGGAAAGAGCTGAAAGACACTCATTTGCCTGGTGCAGCTCCTCTCGCTACCACCGGAGTTCCGTTACTTTTACTGCCTGGCATGCCTCCTTCTGCAAGGAATGCACGCCAGCTTAAGAGAGTCTTCTGCTCTCTGTTTTGACATCACAATGACACTGCGGGGTGGGTCAGGCTGAAAGCGGCCCAAAGCCCCCCAGGTGGCGTCCCGGCTGAGCGGGGTCAAAAACTCAGACCTCCCAGTTCACAGCCGACTCCACCCTCGTGCCCATTCCACCAGCGAACAAGTGCCCACGCAAAAAATGCCAGATAGTCTGTGAAGCAGAGACACGGCGGAGTAAACAAAACCCACTCGTCTAAAGAGCCCAAAGCCGCTGAAGGCTTTTTCTCTGTGAATGTTCCTAATTCCCCCGTGAAGCCATTGCTGGTGGCATCCCCAGAATGAATCCCGTAGTTCAATGATGCATCGTACCCTGCAAAAGGTGTGACACTATCAGAGTAGAGCTGTTGTCGCTGCAAGGAAGTCTTCCGCACGCCAGGTCCTTCTTGATTTGGAGTGTGAACAGGTACCTACAAAGTACGGCAGAGATGTTGCTGACGCCAGGTTCTGACATTCCCCCACTACACCCCGTACGAGAGAGAGGGAACGTGGCAGATCCTCGTGGTGCCCTCATCCCTTCTTCCACTGGGAATCTGTTTGCCGCAGCACACGTGTGTCTGTGCACACCGCAGCCCGTGTTTGCCACCTGCTTTCAGGGGGATTACGCTCCCATGACTGGCTCCAGACATCATGAGATTCCATGCAATGTTAATTACCTGCAGCAAAATCTGGAGTCTTGAGGATGCTAGTTTATGGCTCTCACTGATGCGTGGATTGACTTAAAAGAAGTATCTTTGTGCTCAGATCACCAGTAGAATATACACTTAACAGAGAAATTTAGCAAAGCACTGCACAGGACATAAACAGTTACCATAATGCAATATAAAATAGTAAAATGCAGGCTTTATTCTTGTGCAAAAGGAGGAGCAGGTTTTACAAATCATGGATGAGTTTCAAAGTGCCTCCAGAGGGCTGGAAACTGCCTGACCCCCTCCCCTCCTGGGTCTCCAATTTCATCCGCCATGGTCCAAACATTTTGAAGTCTATTCTTGAACGTAAGGATTTGTGTTTTACACACACACACACGGAATTCATGTGACACAGCTGTAAAAGGAAGATGCATATACCTATCTGGCCCTTCCTCCTACACACTGAAGAATACAAACACACCTTACGCCTCATTCTGGGTGTTCGGTTTGCTGGGCTGGATTCTCCCGGGGGACACTGCCTTCTGGGAGCAAAGCCCATCTGAAAACCACTTTTAAGTAAAACTGCAACATGAGGCACGGCCTGCCGAAAGCTTCTCTGAGGGAGCAATCCCCTGGAAGGGGCAGGAAAGAAATATCAATCCTAAGCAGGAAGACACTGTCTGACCGGCCCTAGGAAAACTCATGGCACCGTCTCTGGCCTCGAAGCATGCTCCCAGGTCGGAGGGACTCTGCACTGGGAGCACCCCGCTCCCGGGGCTGGCTGTGGCTCTGCAGCCGCACAGCCGACCTCGGAGCCAGTGCTGGGAAGGGGAGGCGGGGGGCTCCACCGGGAGGCGGCATTCTGGCAGCGCCTCCGTTCCCCGCTAGGAGCCGTCTGAAGGCACCAGCCCCACAGTTTGGGAGAAACAAGGGCCTTGCTCCCAGCAGATCCCAGTCAGCACTGCTGGTTGCTGAGACAGAGCCAGCGTTGGACCCTAAGGCTGCTGCAGGGCAGGGGAAGGGCGGGGCTGACCCTCACCCTCTACGTTCAGAGGGATCTGGGCAGCCACCATGAATGGCGCTGCCCATCTCTAGGGGCTAAAATCCTCATTCACACGTCCAAAGAAATCTGTGTCACCAAGCCAGCAAGGAAACAATTTCTGAATGAAGCAGCCATGCCAAAAAAACAGCCAGCGCAAAGAACAGTACCTCGTCAGCTCTTCTCTCAGATGACCCGGATCCACTGGGAAAAATTTCACCATAAATTTGAAAAGAATCTCCTTAGGATCTTAAAACATAACATCTTCATAAGTTTGGTTTCAAAAGTCTGTCGGGAACATTTACATATTTCTGCAGTTATACAGCTTGTGGAATCAGTGTGGGAACTGCGACCCCTTCTCTGCACCCAGCACCAATCCTGCCCGGGTCTAGTTGCTGCTCTGGCCAGCAACGTATTAGCAATTGTAGGCTGCATTTAAATGATTTCCCGCCTGTTGTCCATTTGCAAGGAACCCAAGGCAAAGGAGGAGGCCAGGCTGAGTGCCAGTGACAGGGCCAAGGTCACCCGGGGTCATGCTGGCCATGTGGGAACTAGCACATGGGACCAACCACTACACAGCACTGCCCCTCTTAACTTTTCCATGTCCACCACCATTGCCATTTCCAGCAATAAGTGCAAAAACGTTTGGTCTTCACTACTGAGGTGACTTGCACTGGGGAAGCCAATCTGTTCTTGGGGTGGGAAACCACCAGAGGTGATGTGGAAGGGCAGCAATGTGTAGTGGTCAGAGTGCCAGGCTCAGGATCTCACTGACTCTCAGCCTGACCTACCTCACAGGGGTGTAGTGGGGATAAATAAGGTGGCGAGCAGAAGGGCCGTGCAGCTTGCCTTGGACTCTTTGCCAGTTGAACAAATGGACGGGCAGACAATCCGAGGTCAGGGATTCCCCATAATTTTAAAAACTCTGGCCAACTGGATTCAGAATGAGAGGGAATGAGGGAGGGACTGGTTGTCCCGCTCGTGACAGATGCGGCTGGGCAAAAAAGATGGACAAATGGCCCACTGAGGCAGGACACCGCTGAGGGTGGCCACTTCCTGCATTCCAAAAAAGGGGAGAGAACTGTCCCCCCTTTGCCCGTGTGCATTTTCACACTTCGGCTTAGTGCTGGGCATAACAACTGCAATTCATACAGAAATAAAACATGCTTCACGCTAGAGCAACCTTCCGGTGGTTCTTTACCAGTTAGCCAGACTCTCCACCTAGTCTCACACTTCTTTAGAAAAAACGTGGCTTTTTCCTCCAGCAAATGGGAGGAATATGTAAATATTTAGGAGCAATAACAGCAGGGTTATACTGATGTGGAGACCATCTAGCCCTGTACTGTTGACACGGCCTGGCAGCCGCAGATCTCCCGGGTTTTGCATAGGGTTCTCTCTACGCTGCCTGGAGATGCTGCCAAGATGAAGTCTGGGTCTTTCTGCATGGAATGCAGGGGATTGTTAGAGTCAGTGCAGCGCAGGGCCACAAGGTTGGTGGCCGGTTTGCAGAGGATGCCGTATGAGGCGAGACTGAGGGAACTGGGCCTCTTCAGCCGGGAGAAGAGGAGACTCAGAGGGGATATGTTGGCGACATGCAGGTATGTGAGGGGGTGCCACATGGAGGTGGGTCGAGACCTGTTCTCCCCTGCAGAGGAAGGCGGGACGCACTCCAACGGAACCAAGCCCAGGGAGCCAAGGTTTCGTTTGGATGCCAGGAAGCACTTCCTGGCAGTCGGGACCCCGAGGGTGTGGAATGGGCTTCCACGGGAGGTTGTTGTGGCCCCATCGGTGTGGGTGTTCAAGGATAGCCTGGACATGCACATGGTGGGCATGTCATGAGTGGAGCTGGCCGGAGCCGGGGGTCAGACTAGATGGCCCAGGAAGCCCTTTCTGACTCGTTCTGTTTCTATCTATCTATCGCAGAGCTGAGCTTGCTCCCCTTACAGAAAAATTAAGATCCTAGCCCTCATAAATAAAGCTCTGATTTAAACCAGAACCGAATCAGAATCAGCCCAGTATTGCCAACACTGACTGGCAGGCGCAGCTCTCCGGCACATCAGGCAGGAGTTTTCCCTGCCCTACCTGGAGATGCTGGGATTGCATGCAAGACAGACGCTCAGTCACCGAGCAAGGATTCCGCTCCCTTTTGACTTACTTTTTATCTGCTTTGTGATGGGCTTGAGAAGTTCCAGCCAGGCCTGCAAGGACACAAACATTAGCTGATGAAGCACATCAAACAACCAGGTTGCTTCTGGCCCAGTCTACGCACTCTGGGGAATTGGGGGCCGTAGCACAGGCGCAGGCTCCCTGCGATGGCGCTTCCCCCGTGCGGACGTCACCCCCAGTCTCTCTGCAAGTGGAAAGGCAGCATGTCCAGGGAAGGCTCCGCCAGGCCCCCTCCCTGCCACGCCACTTGTTCCTTTGCAGGGGCGTTTCTTTTTCAACGCAGGGGAACATGCAAAAGAAGGCAGGCTCCCCCTGTGCACCCTGAGATGGTATAGTCCAGCCTTCTGCTCCCACCCTGGCAGACAGACGATGCGGCCGAGTGTGTCTGCGGACCGATGCAGACCGCAGTGCAAGGTGCTCCTGGAATGGTTTCCCGAGGGGGAAAAGACCCCCTGGGCGGATGGCCAGCGAGGCGCACGTGAAGGCTCTCCTCTTGCTCCGCCGCACTCCAGCGGGGGAACGAAGCAGGGGGCAGTAGCGGCCCCCGCAGCTGCCTCGATGGGGAGCGCCTGGCCACCGCTGCCCGCCCGGGGGCGTCCCCACCTGGGCGTCTGCGTGGCCGTGGCAAGGCACCCCCAGGCCGAAGGCAGCTCATGCTAGCCCTCAAAGGGGGCTTGCGGCTTTTCTCCCTCAGTGTATTCTTATTTTCCTGGTAAGAAAGGGAAAATGGAAGAGGCTGTGCGGAAAGGCCAGCAGGCGATCAGTGGGAGAAGATGCCTGGACACCCCTCACCCCCACCCCCCGCATGGCATGAATGGGGCAGAGCAACAGTGCCATTAAAGCCTTGTCTGGAATAAGCTGGTTTTTAGCCGAGAGGAGGAAACGGAGACCAAAGGACCACAGGTCTGAGCGCACGCATGCGCACGCGGGGCGGGCAGAGGAACGACTTACAATACATGAGAAAGGGGAAGCACTGGGGAGGCCGCGGAAAAGGCATCTGCGATTGTGTCGAGCATGTGCTTTTCTTGCCAAACGCAAGCCACCAACAAACAACAAACACGTCAACAATCACACAAAAGCATCACTCTGGAAAAAAGAAAACCAATTCAAGATGTCTTAAACCTCCAAGCCCAAGCAGGGAGCCAGCGCTAAACCGCCACCCAGCCAGCCTCTCCCAGAAGGCTCACCGTGCAGGGAAGTGCTGGGGCCGTGCCTGAAAAGGCCCTGCTCTTTGTGCTCACCCAGCGCGTCTGGGGGGCAGAGAGCCCGGCCCAGGCTCCTACTGTGCACTGGCTTGCTTGGGAGGACGGACGTGAGCGGAGGAGGCCCTCTCGAAGTCGCCCAGAGCACCCCTGGCCAGGGCAGCCTAGCTCCCCTGCCTGGTCCAGGTGGGCAGGTGGGCTATGCAAACGAGGCGAGCAGGACAAGAAATGAAGCCCTGCTGGCTTGCCGCTGTGGGATGAAGGGCCATGGGCTGCACACGGGCCGGGAAAGCAACCAAGGCCGTGCTGCTAGGCTCCTGTGCAGCACTGCGGTCCCAAACGCAGCTCGGGAGCCATGGGGAGGCTGAGCAGTGGCGGAGAGGCGGACCGAATTCAGCCGTGCTTGCAGAATTCTGCTTCTCTGTTTGTCGTAACGTTTATAGACTGGCCCATTCCCACGGGCCTTGAGCGGCTCCCGCGCCCCGAGTGGCGGCATGGCGGGGCTGCACACAGTTCGTACCAGTTCAGAATACCTGGAGGGGCTCTCCACATTTTCTACTTATCTAAACATTCCAAGAATCCATGAAGTTAGCACGCTAGCATGTCAGGGGAGGGCACTAACCTAGCCTTCTCCCCGATATGCTAGATTTCTATGTGCAGGGATTTTAAAATTCTTTTTTGGAGATACTCTCTGCCTTCCGCAGTGCTGCTAACACCCCCATTAGCAGTCCGAAGTGCCTTCCGTGATGTTTCAAGGGAGCGATCTGAAATGGTCTCGGGGGGGGGGGGGGGGGCAGAATGTCTCCACTTACAGTATGCCCTGCAGAGCTCCAAAACTCCAATCCAAAATATTCCTTTTCTGTGAGGTTCAAGTGGCTGCAGCTCAGGTTGAACAAAGTTCTACCAGATGATTTTTGCTATTAGAGAAAAGCAGGGGAGAAGGGAGGGAGGGAGGGAAGAGGGCAGGTGGAAAAGACCCAGGGGATAGGGTGAGACACATCATTTTATATCAGAGTAAGTAGATCTTAACAGCTTCCCATTCTTTAAAAAAGCCCATTTTTGAAAGGCAAACTTTGCACACATGCAGCGCCAGACGCGCCCTGGGCCAGGCATGTGCCTCCGCTCACGACGCCTGGCTTGCTCTTCTCGTCTCGCCACCCTCGCGGTCCGGGCGCGAGTGGGTGGGGGGCTGAGCAGGCTGCATGATGAAGAGGAGGAGCTGCTGCGCCGCTGCGCCCCTGCTGGGCCAGCCGCCACCCCAAATCACTTTCCAGTTCCTACAGCGGCAACCACAAGGGTCCAGATCCGGGTGCTACCTGCAGACTGCCGAGCAAACCGAATCATTGGGAACGCCGGGCGGAGAGCAACAGAGTGAAGCGCAGCAGGGATAAGTGCCAAGCCCTCCACTCAGGAATGAGAAACGGAACAAGACGGGGGACGCTTGGCTCGACAAGCTGCAGAGGAGGAGGATCCCGGGGTTGCTGCAGATCACGAGCTGAACATGAGCCAGCCATGTGAGGCAGCCGCGAAAAGGGCAAGTGCTGTTTTGGGCTGCATTAACAAAACACAAAACACGGGAAGTACCGGTGCCCCTGTGCTCAGCACTAGTCCGACCTCACCTGCAGTCCCGGGTCCAGTTCTGGGCACCTGAGTTTTAAAAAGATGCAGAAAAGCTGGAAAGGGTGCAGAGGAAGATGCAGGCACTGGAGGCCAAGCCCTGTGGGGAAAGACTGGGAGAACCGGGCATGTTCATCTCAGGAAGAGAAGACCTGAGGCTGAACCTGAAGAGATGGGACAGCCCTCTGCAGGTAGCTCAAGGGCTGCCACAGAGGGGAAGGAGCAGACCTCTTCCCGACTATTCCAGAGTGCAGGACACGGAACAATGGACTTAGGTTAGAAGAAACCAGATTTAGACTAGATGCCAGGAAAAAGCTCCTCACCTGAGGAGTACAACAATGACATCTATTACCTGGAGAGGCGGTGGGCTCTCCCTCGCTGGAGACATCCAGAAAGCGTCTGGACAGCCACCTGAGTGGGAGGGTGTGGCGTGGTGTCCTGCAGCAGCAGCAGAGGCTGCACCGGATGGCCTGCCCGGCCCCTTCCAGCCCTGCTCTTCTGGGGCCCTGCGAAAGCAGCTCTTCCAAAGGGCATCTGCTTGGCTCCATTTCTTCCCAATGGCCCCTTGCCCACTCTCTGGCCCGGCTCTGGACCTCTGCCTGACAGCCCCCGCAGCAGGCCTCACGGCACTGGGGGCACAGAAGAGGACACCCCCACCTTCCTCAGAGGGGCCCAGGCACCCGGGGGCCTCGCCACGGAGGGACAGGGCTAGCAGCCAGCAACGTGGCAGAAGCCGTGGCAGCGCCCGAGTTGCCTCTTGGGGCAGGAGGCTGATACAGGGATACAGTCTGGAAGGGACACCACAACTGCCGGTTGTGCCTTTCGAAATGCAAGCTATTCAGACAATGAAGCTGCACTTCCGGCTGCAACCAACAACAAAGAGCGAGAGCAGGTTAGAGGTCCAGCTATTCCTTCCTTGCATCGGCTTGGCTCCAGAGGTCTTCATAAAAGAGCTCACATCCAGGTCTGTTAAGGCTCCTTGGAGGCATTTTCAGGCAAGGGCTGGGGTTGATGTCTTACAAGCCCATACTTTTTTGTTAACTGATAAGAAAATGCCTCCAGCCCTGTGAAACACGAAAGCCTTACTCACGGGAAAGATTTGGGCACGTGCCAGCTGATGCCACCAAGCTACCCATGGCCTGGGCCCAGTTTCATTAAGTGCCGCAATTCATGCTGTGCAGAAGCAATTAAGCATCATTCAGTGTGGAGAACATGGCCGGGCGTTAAAAAGCTGGGGATTCTGAGCACTTTTACGACAACAATGGGAAAAGCTGCTTGACCTTCCCATCTTTAAGGTGTAAACAGACAGGCCTTGAGTGTTAAACCTTGAGTGCTTCTAGAAAGAGGAAAAAAGGAGAAAGGAGAAAAATGTAGCTTGTGCCAAGACCGGGAGGAAAACTCGCACATGCTGCACAAAACGAAGCTAGGCGCAATTTCACATAAGCTCTCAATTCCTTAAGCTCCAATGACACCTTCCCGTACCTCTTGCATCTTTTTCTGCCCCTGACAATGTCTACCATGGGGGTTTTGGGGTGAGTGCATTGGGGCAGCTGTGGATAAGCCCTGTTTTGCATCAAGGGCCGGAACCGTTGCTGGGGAAGAGGGGCCAGGCAGTGATGGGGCACGAGCAAGGAAGCTTCCTCAGTGCCCCATAGCAGGCTGGCCCTTTGTCAGGGAAGCTGCCACGGCTGTTCCTCAGATGCTCTTGTCATTCTGGTGGCTGCTCCCGAGGAAATTGCAGGGTTGCTTACGCTCTGTGCATTGTGCTCAACGTGAAGCGTACATGCTAACATTTTGCAGATAATCCCTCGTTGCGTCCAACGAGCTTCAAATTACTACCCCTGCACACGAAGCCAGCTGCGAAAGTGACAGGGTAATAACAGCATTCTCTCAGGGCTGTCCCGATTCCCTGCCAGTGGCTGGGTCGCAGGGGCGGTTAAGTCAAGCAGGGCTGTTCACTCCTCCTGCGCGGGAATAGCGGGGTACCGCGTTGAAGAGCAGAGCGGAGCGGAGCGGAGCGAGGCCGGCACAAGCGTGCCCCAGGTTCTGGTTCCAACAGGGACGCGCCAGGCTTCCAGGCGTGAGTTTCACATGGGCAGCAGCTCATTTCTCATAGAGAACAGGAACATCTGGCGTGTGCAGATGCCAAGTTCGTCCCAGGCATCAGGCCAGCCAGTCAACTGCCTGGGACCAAGCAAGCTTCCTTAGCTGTCCCCGCAGGAGTTGGCCCGCCGCTTCGGGACACAGCTGTGTTGCACTGCAGGTTACCTGGAGAGGTGCGCAGCATCCCCACGTCCTCCTCCCTTGCTTTTCCTTGGTGGGGTGGACAATGCAGACCCCCCATCCTAGCCTTCAGATCCACCCCAAATTGCCACCGTGCTGCAAGGAGTGGGCCCCTTTGGAGAAAGCGCTGGCTTCTGATGTGCTTGCCACGAGAGCAAGCTGCGGCACAGGCCGGGAGCTCTGCTTCGAAGTAAAACGGCCGCCTTCTCTCGCTGCAGAAATTCAGCAGCAATTCCGTGGCAGGGAGGACTTCTGGGGGGGCAAATGGGCACTGGGCCTTGTGAAGCAGTGTGGTCCTAGGCTAGGGAGCGCCCTGCTGCAGGCCTTCACCGGGGGCCCTTCCGGGGCTCCACTGCTCTAGGCACGCCCAGCTGGCGGCTGCATGGGCAAGCAACGCTAGAAGTGAAATTCACGTTGGACAAGCCTACACACCTCCCAGAGGGAACTACTTCCAGGGCCAGTCCACCCACGGGATGCTGACCGTGTGGCAAAACATCAGTCAGTCAAGGAGCGGAAGGCACCAGGAAGCGCCACCAAATCCACACGTGCCCTTCCCAGGTTACACGCGGACAGGGAGACCGTCGGTTGCACTTCCTCCCCCTCTGACTTTGTGCAGTGCCCAGCCCTCCAACTGGTGCGTCGCTACCCCAGGAAGGGAAGCTGCGCCCGAGTGGGCAGCCCTCCGCGGGATCCGGACCTGGGCTTCCCTTGCCAGACACCCAGGCACACACGCACTCGCTGCCTCCATGCAGACGACAGGACGCAGCCGGCTTTTGCCAGCACTGGCGCAGGCGTAGCTCAAGCAGCCTGCTGGGCCCAGAAGCTGCAGCGTCCTTTAAGGATGCATGCCACCCACATTTCCACCTGAATCCCACTTCCCGGCCCTGAAGTTCCCTCCCCTCCACCCAGGCACCCAATAATACCCTCCCAAGCTCCGCCAGCTCCCCTGCCTCTGCCGCAATCCCAGTTGCATGGCGGATCTGCTGGAAATGTGTCCAGAGGCAGCCTGCTCATTGCAGGCTTGCTAATTCAGGTCCTCATTTATTGTGACCATTCAGCATCAAATGCATCGTATGCCTAGGAGGGGTTTTGGTGGTTTGAAAAGGAAAGGTTCAAGCCAGGGCCTTAATGGAACCTGTTTGTTACAGTCCGGAGCTAAAGTGCTCCAGATATCAGGGGCTAATAGGGATAGGAAAATGGAAACCCAGAGATGCCATCACTCCATGGATAATTGGCTGAAATGCTGCACATTTTCTATGGATAACAACAAGATGGGATTGTCGCACTGTGATCTGGTTTAAGTTTCTGCTTCCCGGCACTTCTTAATAATAAAAGAGACCTTTTAAAGCTCTGCAGCAACCTACTTCTACCAAGATGCTTACTAAAGCCATCATTAAGAAGCAAATATTTTGCAGTACCAACACCACACTCTGGTAAACTTCCAGTAGTAAAGCCAGACCAGTTCCTTTCCCATTGTTCCTAATTTAAAGCTTTTTAACTTCTTAAAAACAGAACATCATACATGCTTCTGAAAGTGCAATTCTTCATAGAAAAATAAAACAGGTACGGAATGTTTCCAAGATGTTGAAAAAGCACCCGCACACCTCATTGTTAGTAGAATAAGGAAATCACCCTGCAGAGGTAACTGGGTTTGAAATGAATACATTTTAACCTGCCTGCTTTCTAAAACACCCCTTTTCAAATAAGCTCTCATGTAACCGGATCCTTAAAATGTTTAAGAAGAGGTCTGAAATTGTTGACAGAGGAAAGAAGGACAATTAAACACTTCACAAGCTTTAACTGGAGTACAAATAACCGATCTAGTTGGAAATTCCACTTCAGACTTACTATGTTAATATGCATTGTGCCAATTTAGTCATAAATATTATAAAGGAAGTGAGGCTTCTCCCAAGAAAAAAAAACAAAAAATTTGCTTTCAAAAGAAAACAATTTAGGGCTGGCACAAAGTCAACCTCTGTAATAAGGTAAAAACCACCGCCTTGGAAAAACCAGTCAGCTGCATTGTTAAGGAGATACTTTGTCATATACCAAGCCCCAAGTGCTCAGGAAATACCTTTCGATGCCCAGAGCTCACCATCCATCCCCGATTCCTGTTTTTTCAACTAAGTCAAATGTAGAAATGGCCACAGAGCTAAGAAAAGTCAAGACCCAGGGGTGATGAGAACAGCCAGTTAAGAAAGAGAGGATTGACTTACATCGACGACAAAGATCTTCTGGGAGTCATCCAGAAATTGGACTTTAAGATGCAGCATCCTTGGGCAAGGGGCTGAGCAACCGGCAAGCTCTCGATGCTCCGAGATGCTCGTGGGCAGAGCCTGCCTTCTAATCCACGCAGAATTTCCACCTCCGCAGGAAGATCGGGACTGGAGTCAGAGAATCTGGAGCAGACTTTTGCAATGCAGTGGTGCCCTTTGTTTGCAGCTGGATGAATAAACCCGTGTGTGGCACAGCGCATTTCAGCGGGGCCACTCTGGATTCCAGCTAAGGGCTGCTCTTCATGCTTGCACTGAGGAGGCAGCTAGGATTGCTGAATCAGTTAAGATCGCAGGCGACCACATCTTCCTTCTTCAATGCTAGGCTTGTTCTGGCTCAAGAATGAGATTTCAAAACTTGCTGCCTGAACCTACCTAAGCTACTGTTCCTGTTGCTTTTTCCCCAAAACATGAGGACTACAGACTTAAGGAAGACATCTGATTTGAGCTGTGGGCCAGGGTTTGGCAAAGGGGTTGACTTTCCTCCTCCTTTTTGAGGATACCTGGCGGGGCCGTGTGGGTGCCGCTTTGGAACTCAGTGGTTGTGTTGGGTCCCCAATGTTCCCCAGGCTACGCTTTCCCCTGGTGAGCTCGCCAGGATAATGTGCTGGTGCTGGCCTCCCTCGCCTATGGCAGCCCTCATGCCTCCCCACCAGAGACAGGGGACCCAGCCTCTCCTCCTTCCCCGAAGGAGAGGCTGGACGGGGGTAGACAGGAGGGCCAGAAGCCAGAAGGGACTCCGGTGAAGCTGCACTTCCTTGGCAACCTAAGTGTTCCCTGATGGTTCTGGGGCATTTAAAAGTATCCCAGTTTCTGCTTGGTGCAAATGTTCTGGTTAGCAGATGTTTGCCCTAAGTACCTCATGTGGAGTGTGCTTCAAGGGGTGTCAGAATCCCAGAATCTCAATTTGAGAATAAAACTCGGGTTCGTGGGAAAGACCAAGCGTCCAGACCATCTGAGGCTTTATTGTTTTACCCCAAGGTTCCCGCGGTACTCACGAGAACGCATGCTGCATTACCGGGCAGGCAGAGGTGAACTCCGCTGCAAAGCTTCAACACCATTACAGGGCATTTATAGGTACACAGGCACAGGGCAATCGATGACAGAATGCAGGGATTGCAATAAGGTTCTGAGGTCATCACATACAGAACAGATAAAGGAATGTCAGTCAATCACACTGTAACAATGAGATTACAGTATTTCTAATTGTCTGCATTGACACTAGTTCAGCAGCTTGAACCCATCCCCAGGTCTGCTCGGACAAGCAAATTCAAGCTACTAGAAACTATTCATGATTAGCTCTGACCCGCCCCCCCCCATCTCGACTCTAGACATTCTGCATGATCAGGGCACATGCAGCCCTCTGGGCTATCAAAAGATTATTGTAAACTGAATTCCAAGAATGACTATTGACAATGTATATTCAGGCTAAAATAGCCTACAGCTAAAGGTGAGAGAAAGGAGGGAGGGGGAGCCATTTTAAACAGTGGCAGCTTGGTTTTGAGAAGGAAGACAAGACTTGATCCCAAAGGCACACAGGAGTAATGCTTTTCAGACAGGATTTATCCAAATTTTCCCAACAACGGAGGCCGCTGGGCAGGGCTCCCCGCGTGCATTGGATAAAAGGGGTGGGTCTTCCCGCTCCAGCGCCTGTTCGCGTGGCCCCCACAAGACGGTGCAGGCACGCGCGTGGCTGCGCCCCCCGGCCGGCCGGCTAGAGCAGGCGCCTCCGGCCACGCCAAGGCCCTCGGGGGCGGGGGGCGGGGGGGGGCCCTGCCCGAGGATGGGCAGGACGCAGAAGGGGCTGGTTTGCTCAGACCAAGCTCACCCAGCCTGCCTTCTGCTCGCACAGCGGCCGCCCAGCAGGGCACGGTGCAGCAACGTCCCCGCCCATGTTCCCCGGCCTCTGGTGCACACGGCGCGCCGCCTCTGCGGCTGGAGGTGGCGTGCAGTCATAAGGACTGCAGCCTTGGGCAGCCCCGAAAGCCGCCGCCTCCTCCACGGCTGGGACCGGGGAAGGCGGAGGGAGCGGTGCTCGGGCCCGGCTCCTCGCGGGCTCCGTCCGCTTCCTCGCGAGGCCGGGCGGCGGCGGCCGCTTCAGGACGGCGCCCCCTCCTGGTTGCCGCGAGCACCGCCGTTCGCGCCGCCTCCGGCCGCCCCTTCGTCGCGGCGCGAAGGGCCCGCGCTTCCACAGGGCGGGAGAGCCGCCCAGCCCCCCACGCAGCTGGAGAGCCGCTCGGGCAGCCGCTGCGCACGCGCTGAGCAACGTGGAGGAGGAGAGGTGCCTGCCCCGAGGGGCTCCCAGTGGAGAGCGCAGCTCCATGCGCGGTATCGATCCCTTGTCCAGGCAGGCACCAACCGGTTGTTGATGAACTGTACTGATGGCCCGTTTTTTCCTGCACAGAACCCAGGTGGCTTTCGCATAAACTCCCTCTGTTTTAGTATATTTCTGCACCGCTTTTCTTCTGATGGAAGTGGCACACTTGCTCTGCCTGTCCCCGTTATGTTCACAACAACCCTGTGAGGTAGGCTGAGTTGCAAGATAAAGCATGGGCCGCTGAGGGAACCACAGAGCAAGGGCTTTTACTTGGGTCTGCCTTGTCCAAATAAATACCAGCCTACCAATTAGTGATGTTAATTAGTCAGACAGAACAAACTAAGCTTGTCTGGCACTCTGGCTGCATCTTTTCAAGAGGACAGAAAGAGTGGCAAAAGCTGGAAAAGGGCAGGAAGGACTTGCCAAGGGACCTGGATTATTCTCTCCAGTTTTTATGTTTTCTGGCTAAAATATTGCTCCATTTTGAAATAAAGTTTTTTAAAACTGCAAAAATAACATATATATTAATATAGCAAGATCGCCCGGGAAGTTTTTGTTGTTATTAGTTCTACCTCCCTTCCTCTTGCAAGGAACCTAAAGCCGCACACAAAATTCCCCTCCCCTTTCTATCTTCACAACAGCCCTGTGAGGTAGGTGAGTGTAAGAGTCAGTGGCTGGTACAAAGTCACCCAGTGAGCTGAGTGGGGCGTGCACTCAGCCATTTCCCAGGTCCCCATCCCAGCACCCAAAGCACCTCACCACACTGCCCCCCCGCGATCGGATTGTGATAATTTGCACATGACTGGCATGCTTCCGGAACAGCTGGGGAGCAACGCAGCCTGAGAAGCTCACCAGTGGGAAGTGACGTGAAACCCTAGCGCGGCACCTGTGGGAGGAAGGTGCGCAGGCTTCGTCCGAAGGAAAGCCAGGCGTCTGGACTTGGCTGGAATTCGCTCGGGGGTGGAAATCACGGCACCCTTGGGTCTCCCCTGAAGTGAAAAGCCAGCGGAACACACAGAGCCTCCCAGAAGTTATCCTCCACCAGGGCTCGGGTGTTTTGTCCTGGGTTCTTTGGAGACTCCACTTCTTTGCTTGCTATATGTAACTTGGCCGCTGTGTGCAATTCCAGGTGTGCGTTTCTGGTCCGTGGGCTCCATGGCACCACAACCACTTTGGCACCGCAGACGGGGCATCGGACATGCAGTGACAGGGCCCGAGCTCGAGCCAGCACTGCCAGCCTGGAGCTGCCTCCCTCGCTGGGACCGGAGCCTCCCTCTCGCCCTCCTCTCCTGGCTGCACCTTGCACAGCATTTCCTCCAAGGGGATTCCGGCAGGCCTGTGCAGGTGCTTCTGGGAAAGAGTTGGAAAAATCAGGAGCGGCTGTGCACTTGCACAGCCTGGGTGCTTGAAGGCACTGGATCCGTGAGTTTTGCTTTAGACAACCCGGCAAGCCATGAGGGTGACCTGGCTGGGCAGAAGGCTGAGGAGGATCCAATGAAAAGGCTGACAGAATCCTCCCCATTTTAAAGAGTGAAAATGTCAACACTTAAATGAGCCTCCATCTCCTCCAGAAATGGGGGAGCATTCCCCTGCTCCCGTTTGCAGTGCCTTTCCGGATCCTTAATGCCAGAGGAGCTTTGTGCCCCTGCTAATGGGAGGTGGGAAACCAGCATCTCCCCTTTCTGGACGAGCTGGAGATTTGGGGGATGGCTGAAACGTGCAGCTGCACTCTTGTCACGCCAGTTGCCAAGCATGTCACCTGCTCCCCTTTGTTCCTCCCTTCGACAACTGAGACATCCAAGAAAATCGACAAGGGACGATCACCCGTATCTGAAGGCCATGCTAGGGCACCGATGCACTCAAGACGGATCAAGAAAAATAATGTAAAAATACACATATTATGGCACTCTTTTCGGAGGCCAGCAAACCAACCCCCAAATACAGGAAGGATAACAAACTGCGGATGTGAGATGGGAGGTGCTGTTCGGGAAGGCCTCAGCAGCTGCAGGCAGCCTATGAATATGTGAATGGACGCATGTTTTCTGCCACAAGGGGCCCTGAGGTGGGGCTGAAGGGCCGGGGGGGGGGGGGGACAGCCGCACAGCAGGGTCATCGGCTGGGTGCATCACGGTTGCTCCGTGAGTGAGCTAGACGGCATCGCTCGCGTGGAAGGGGGCGACACAGCCGCTGCACTGCACCCGGCCACCCCAGCGCCTGCCTGGCCCTCGAAGCCCGGCACGAATCCCGTAAGATGGGCCGCCGTGGCCGTCCTTCTCTGCTTCCCTGCCCCGGCTCCCACTGCTGCTTTTCCAGCCGGGGCTCCCCAGCACCCTGCAAAGGGTGGGGAAAAGCTGCCGGCCTGTGATGGGGGTTCTGCACAGCAAGGTGGAAAGCCACCCCAGTGCCGGGGGTGCCAGGACAGCAAAGGGGCTGCCTGAGCCTGCTGGGGCAGGGCCCTGTTCAGCCAGTGGAGCGCCCCCCCCCACCCCGCCCCGCTGGTGCCCGTGTGATCACAACAGTAGAGGAAATGCCCTGCTGACCTGCTTGATACTTTTCAAAGCCAGCCTCTTCCCAGTGGAGGAAACCGCTCTGGCTCTTGCACGGCTCGTCAAAGAATCCGGCCTGTGATACCAAGCTTTTTGCAAAAACCATGAGGACTAGCAGCTCTTCTCTCCTCGCCTTTCTTGCCTGGATAGGACATGCAGGAGGGGGTCCAGGCCTGCTCCCACTGCAGTGACCCACCCCTGCAGAGGTTGCTCAGTCATCCTGCGTGGAAGATAGCAGGGGGACGCAAACGACCAAGCGAGAGCCTGAGCCGGGGGGGGGGGGCAAATGACCCCAAGACCACCCGCCTGCCCCCTCCCAGCTGTTCTTTTGCCCCTTGCCTAGCTACCTGCAGCTGCTCTGGAGCAGGACGACTTCATTATCCAGCGTTACTCACACGCTGCTCTGGACACCTTTGCTCCTGAATCAGGCATGCAATAAATGCAATACAGCAAATGCTGAGGATCCTGCACTGCAGCCTAACGCAGTTCCGTATTCGGAGCCACGGACCTCTCTGAAGACTCCGCACAGCAGCTGGTCCAGCATTAGATTATAGCCCGTGCTGCTGCTTCTAGGAAGGCGCCCAAGAGCTCACAGTCCTCCTCCTCGCCATGGCATGCCAACCACCACCCTGCAAGGCAGGCTGGGCAAGGCGACAGTGATAGGCAACTGACAGGTATCACAGGCGAGTAGGAACGAGCGCCCGGGTCGCCCTGTCTCGAGCCACCGCCCCACGCAGCTCACTCCTGTCGCAACTTCCATACGAACCGCTTGCTCTCGCACCTGCTTCATTTCTGCCACACATTCTGGGGCTTCCTTGCGAAGACTGAACTCCTGCACCTGCCCAGCTGCGATCGCACGCTTGGCGCTGGGATTACCCGCAGTTGCATTAGCTGCAAATGGCCCCCCCGAGACAGGAAGCTGCCACGCTTTCCCAAACCATCCCTCCCATGTGGAAGGGGGACCGTTCAGGCGCGCTCCCCTCACCTACGCAAACAAACCAGTCGTATTTTTGAAGTGACTTCCCAGTGCTAGACCTGGCTTTTTTTTCTTCTTAAAGGAGAAGAAAGGGGGTTAATTTCAGCCACATTTACTAGCTGCTCCCCTTTATCCTGCTGCGTAAGGAGGACAAGCCCCCTGGCTTGTCTGTTCTTGCTCTCTTTTGCGACCTTGAAGTCTTTGCAGACTTAAGGAACAATCCTAGGCGTGCTTAGACACAAAGAAAGAGCGATGGCCATCGGCGTTCCCGTCTGACGCGTGCAATTCTGTGGGCATGCTGGGCACTGTAGGCCTTTCTTCCCGTCCAAGCAGGCGTCGCATCACACCCTTTCTGCGTTAAATGGAGTATGGCAGAGTCCAAAGTGGGCAGATCTTCGTGGCACAGGGCTCGTTCATGCAAGAGAACCGACAGCTCCCAGGCACTGGGAGACATTGTGCTTCCCACGTGAAAAGTGCACGGGTGCATCTCCTGTGCTCAGAATCACTGCCTGCAGAATGACCGTAACCTACACCAAACGCACACGTGGAATCGATCCGCATGCGTGTGTGACGTATGCAGTACGTCTCTGTGGGGACCAGAGTTCCTGGAGCACAGCTCTGCCCACAAAAAGAACAGCAACACAGCTTTGGTAATACAGGTATCTATTTTATTAAAAAAGTTACAAACAGGTGAACTGCAGGGTAGTCTTACAAAATTAAGAATGAATGAAATCGGGCAGAGGGGGGAGAGGTGGTTTTTAAGTTTACAAAGCATTAGATCATCCTAGCTTTCCATTTGCTAACTGTCCAGATTTTGCTTTTCCCCAGTAAAAGGTACAGTACATTATACATTTAGGTTTAATTTTAGGTACTTCTCAGGCCTGCCAGGGCTGTTAGCTGCGTCCACACGGATTACATTTGCACCCTAGACAGTTTCCCACCTGATCAACAGCTGCATTCACGGACCCTGCGCAATTGCTCCCCTGGGCGGGGGTGGAAGGACAAGGCCTGGCCTCCCTTTTGCCCCAGGAGAAAGGGATATCCGATTCTGAGAGAGAGGATACCTCTGGAACCACGCTCTTCTCCCCCTCCACCCTGATTCGACAAGGGAGTAACAACCTGGTATGAACAGGGAGGAACCAGACTTTGAAGAGCCCTTGCTGCAGGGATTTCAAACGGGAGGACACCCAGCCAGTCAGCCACTTTCCCCCCAGTCCAGCCCTACAGACAAGGTGGAATCCACACAGCTCAACTCATGCCGAGCCACGTGCCTAGGAGAGCACCTGCGCAAGGCCAGGGCTGCCTCTGCTCCTACCTACTCCTCGCAGCCTCTGCTGAGCTTTGGTCCTTTATTCCAAGCTGCACTGAAGACACCCGAATTGGATACCAGTTCTTGCCTTTCCTGTGAGCATGCCAGTGGCTGACAGCAATTAAAACATGAAACTTAGTGAAAAGGTCAATGAACAGAAGCATCAAATGGCAAGACAGCTCTTCTGCCTGCTTCACCTCGGAACGAGAAGCGGTGCCATTTGGATCGCACGTTCCCTTGGCACATCCCCATGTAAATATATTTTGCAAACAGTCTTTAGTTTGAAGTCTATTAAAGTGCAAACCTAACTTAATTTCAGGGAACCCCCTTTAAAGTAAGTTCCATTCTTCTTGGTAGGATGCAAGCCAGAGGAACACGGCAGCAGACTGGTGCGGTTCTACAGTCGCTTCACCTCAGATCAGTACTTAATTTGCAAGCAAACGGTGAATAAATCCTCGGCTGCCACCGGGCAAACCAGTATCAGTTCGCAATATGTTCAAAGGACTTAACACTGGGCTCTTAAAACCAACAACTTTGGGGCAGCTGAAGAAGCTGCAGTTACTCAAGCCGAGGGAGAGCGAAAGGGGATTTCTCAACCCACTGCCAGGAATTCTCCTGCAGCCGCCCACTGTAAGCACCCGTTGTGTTAATAAACTCAGAACCGTTAACTGCTTATATACTCTTCATTCTGCTCAATACCTGCGTTGCCCAAAGACTTCAAGTATCCAGACAAAACAGTTCACACCAGGTAAACACTGCAGAAGGCAGTGCAAGGCATTCACACAGGGAGCCGGTGCTTGCGCTACCCACCCCCCGGTCATGCCAACTAATGCTCAGTTCTCGGCAAACCGAAGAGAGCAAGCAAGAAAGCAGCACGTCGGGATACCGAAGAAAGCGAACAGATATTGCTTCAAAATACTGAGAGAGAAATAATATTTAAGAGCTAGAAAATGTAAAGTTGCTTTTATTTGCATTTGATTTACATGTGCAGAGGTCCACCAGATGGTCATTGTGAATCCTGCCGGGCAAAACCAGGTGAGCTTTTGCTTCAAAACATAACACCCTGTAAGGGATTACAGGACCCCCTTCCAAGAAAAAGCAGATTGAGAACCAGAAGTTAAACAGAGTAAGGAGATGTACTGGTGATTTTCAACACAATCAGTTAACAAAACAAAACCCAAATTCCGAATGCCGTGGAGTAAGAGAGTACACACAGTTCCTGGGGCACCTCCAGTCCCTGTCCAACAGCTTCCCGTCACCGCATCAGGCCATTCGCATTCCACAACAGTGCTGTGAAAGGGGGCGCTCTATCCCGGCAACGCAAGATGGCTCTTAAGCATCTTTCTATGACACCATCACACATAAACAGAATGGCTCAACATTTCAACCAAAGACATTTTGCGGGAGAGGAACTTTTTTTGCAAATCAAGTGAGGATGTGAGGTAATATACAGAAGTAACCATTTGTTTAAGGCTCACTTTATTCTCCATTAAAATTTTCTCTTAAAAAGGCATTGAGTAGGTAATACTGAGTTTAAAGTTTAATAAATACAAGTTTTGGAAGTCAATTAAAAGAAATCAAAATATTAAAAAAACAAACTCTTGCATATTAGCCATTAATAGGAACTTAGAAAGCTATAAAAACCAGGAGAGGACCAAGAGATAAAGATTCCAAAACGTATGTATGGTAAACATGCTAAGCGTTTCTGTTGCAGGCCGATGGGTCTCCAGTCGCCGCGGACTTTGTCTTTTGCACTCGATGCCTAGAAAGTGCTCTAAAGACACACAGGACATAACAGGCTCAGGTCGGCAGCCTGGGCTGAAAAGGGTTCTCCAGAGCAGCATCTGTGCAAATTTCCTCTGAGTTTTATCTGCAGTTAAGACAAAGAATTAGTCAAAGGAACATTTTTATTCTCGTAGGATGCAAAAGACATCTGACCAGCAGTCAACCCTGTTATAAGCAGCAGAAAAAGCCAACTGCACTGCTTCACAAGCCCAAGTTTCTGCTTCCTACTCCGCTTAAAGAAACAAACCTTTTCATTTCTGCCATCCTTTCCAACACACACGACTCGCTTAGATTCTCTTTTCTCCTGCCCTGTTTGAGATCACAGAAGTTGTTCCAAGCCACACAGTGAGGAAGCTGGCAGGGGGCAGGATTACGTGACAGCGCAACTGGCATGTAGGAGTCAGGCAGAGGTGCTTCCAAGAGCAGGCGCAACCCAGCAGAACCTGGTCTGCCAGGAAGACTCAGCATAGCATTCTCCCTGCAAACTGCCTCAACGAATGGCAAAGGTCACTCCGGTGCTGGTCATCGCAAACTGCTATAGAAACAGAGTTGTTTTTCAGGGCTTCCCCCCCCCAAAAAAAGGCCAAAGGGAACTAATTCTTCCAAAGGATGACCATGAACAGAAAATGCCACATATATTTAATAGGGAGGAAGAGGAGGAAGGGAGGAGGAAGAGTCCCTAGTCTCTCACAAAATGGGATGCTTCCGAAAGGGCAAAACATCTCCCTGCCATAATGTCGCTCGACTGAGCTCACCCTGGCTCCATCTGAAGCAGCCGCTGTAGATGACAGCACCAATCCTGACATAGAAGCCCCCCAGACTTGCAAGGGCACAACATGGCCTCATAACCTCTCACCTTTTGGGGGCTGACAGACCTCCTCTCATAATGGAGGCTGCGGCTGGCTCTCCCGCAGGGCCTCTCCAGGACACCAGGGGGGATAGTTCCCAGCCCCCTGAGGGGCCCCATCCGGCCGAGCAATGGCTCCAGCCCAAGGTCAACTCTGCTTAATTCCAGACATTTCATACCGAGGCCAACAAGCCGTGTGGCACTTGGAGCTGGGCACCAGGAGACAGGCTGCCTGCGGGCTGGTTGTGAGACCCCCGCCCACCGGAATGAGCTGACCGGCAGCAAGATATCATGGCGCACCGCGGACCGTCCATTACGGTGTTTGGGTCAGAGTGCCTCTCTCTCTCTCCCTCTCTCTGAAGGGAAGTGTGACACAGGAAGGGTTCAACCTGGAAACCCCTTGCCACGGACAGCTTGTCCTCCTGCCTCTTGTGTCTTCCCTAGCAGAAGGTGAGCTTGCACCTTTCTGTCGAGCTCATCCACAGCGCGAAGAAGCAAGGAGTCTGGTAGTGGCCCGTGTGCCTTGCTAGTCCAGTGGCTAGGAACTGGGGCACGTGATGCCAGAAGTCCGCAGCTGTTCCAGGCTTGTTTTGCCTTTCACCAAGCACTGCAGAACCTTCACTGCACTTTGGGCAGGGAATGTTACTTGCTGCACACGCGCTCTCCAAAGGGAAGCGCAACCTGTACGATTACAGCTATACAACACAGCGGTCACCTCTCTGGTTATTTCATGCAAACTTCATGGGCCAGACGTGGGCTTCCCATGAAAGCTTGTGGTACCTTTCAGGCTTAGTCAAGGGAGATGCTGCTGTACATCCAAGAGAACACAATCCAATCAGGGGAGGTAAACACATCCTCCTGGGCCAGCCTCCACCCCTGCAGCAAAGGACTATACCACTCGTCCTCCCCCAGGGTGTGCTAGGTTCTACCCTGGGCACCTGCACATGGAAGACGGACAACCTGGGAAAGGCCCTTCTCCGGCCAAGTCCGCAAAGGAGACTGGCCTGGCTCTGGTTCAGGGTGAGGCAGCTTTGTGCACACGCCTTCCTGGCCTCAAGGCAGCTCATGAAGGACCAAGCCACCTGTCAGGACAGACTGCGCTGGGGCAGAGGCGATGGCAAGGGCTCAGCTCGATACAAGGCAGGGCTCCGTGCAACACTGCCAAAGATGCCTCAGCACAGTTGTGAGCTGGCCAATGCTGTGAACTGCCTTCCTGTGCTCATCCAGCACCAGCCAGAGCAGCAGTGCCGGCCTCAGGAAGCCCAAGTCTTTGCTGGGGGATGCCCCTGGGCCATGTTAGCCACGCCACGCCACGACCTCCCCCACCCCTCCCAGAGGGCCGCCTTTCTTCCTCAGAGCCCTTGGCCATCAGGCTGTTGCAAGTGGACCACTGAAGGAAGGCTCGTTTCATCAGGACAGGCGCCACCGCCCCTGCTGACCCCAGCCACGCGTGTGCGCGTGGCGCCTGGGGAGCGAGAAACATCCCACCAACCTGCTCTGTATGGCCATGATTGAGGTTTCGCTTTCTGTCTCACTGGACAACACAAGTGGTACAACACTGGTCTTGCTTTTCCGGCAGGGATGCATAGTTCATTTGCCTCACGATCTCTGCAAACAGTTCGTCCACCATGGTCTTGCTCTTGGCTGAGGTCTCCATGAAGGGGCAGCCCCACTCCTGAGCCAGTGCCCGGCCTTCTGCTGACAACACCTCCCGCTCCGACTCCAGGTCAACTTTATTCCCCACGAGGATGAGAGGAACCTTTTCATACCTCTTCACACGGACAATTTGGTCCCTCATTGGCTTGATGTCCTAATGAAGAAACCAAAACTATTAAAGATGCTGCACTACAGCGACTGCCTAACCGCAAACCTGACAGGTTTCTGCAACAGCTAATTGAAGCAAATGTTTACGCTCTCACCCATGCGGGAGAAAGGAGAGCCAGCCACAGAGAACAGGCACTAAGCAACGGTTTTCAGGAATAGATTAGCACTTGCAGGGGGACAATTATTCTGTCTTCTGGGTTGTAGTTGCTCATTGCTTAAAACAGTCTACAATTTGGGAAACAAATCTAAAATTCCTGCAGAAAGGCTTCTAACATAGACAGTGGCAAGACACTAGAGAACATGAAGGGTGGACTGGGAGAAGAGATCAGCACGGTCTGCTATGAGCACGCCAGGCTTCCTGAACACACTCCTAGCCCACTGATGTGGGGCAGAAGTTTCCCAACAGAGACACTCTCCCAATGCTATCCTTCTTCACAAAAATGTTCCATGCCATAAATATCTACACTGTTGTACTGCAGTCATCTTAGATGGGATGAATATAAGATGCAGACTTCTGGAAGTTATTTTTCTCGGGCAAGCACAAGTAAATTGTAGTGCTTGGTCACCCAAAAGGGAGCTGCCAGCTAAAGGACAGTGATGCTTTCCTGAGGACAGAGCAGCTGACTCTTGGCTAGAACTGGACCAGAGTCAAGCATGGTGCTTTCACCTGCTGCTGCTAACATTCCAGAGTTACAAAACAAAATTGAAGTGGAAGCTGCAGTTACTGGGGGTTTTGTTTTTCATTTTCCTCACAGAAGTGCCTCAGTTTTCCTCTTGAGTTCAGAAGGTTTTGCATAGGATTTTTTTATCATCTAGCACTTGTGGTTATCCTGAGCTAAGTTATAATATGAACACATAAGAACAGTTTCCCATGCAAGAGTCTGGAAGGCTTTTGGGTCAAACAAAACAAAAAACAGAATAAACTAACAAATGAATGTGCTGCTAAACTTGTTTCTATTTTGCAAAATCTCTTGCTTTTGGACAATCACAAGTACAAGTTGTAAATGCAAAATACGCTAAGCTGCCTGTGTGCACAGACTCACACCCATCCGCTGCTGAAATAGAATGTTCAGCTGGATGGTATGAATCGGATTTTTCTCAGCAATGGTACTGATAAGCAGTGAAATCATTACCTTAGCAAAAGCGAGTTAAACAGTTGCTACATCAGCTCAATTCATCAGTTACAGCTCTTTCTGGGTATGCATCCTAAAAATAACATGTTCTTCCAGGCAGGGTCATTTTTGTGAAATATAAACAATCATAAGGAAAGTATATGGTCTTATCTTTTACAATTATTCTAATAAAATAGTTTCCACAGAAAGCTTTGAATGTGTTTGAATGTAACATTTAGCTATGCTGTGTGACTAATCTAGTTTGCCCAAGTAAATACTGTATTTCAGTTCAAATATTTTACTGAAATCAGGAAAACTTTTGGTAAGTTTCTGCTGCTCAAAAATGGACAAGGATTACTCAGCTTACTGAATATGAAATATTTTGCACACTTGGGGGAGAAGGTGTGTTGAAGTAAAAACAAGCTAGAGATACTCCATCAGATAACATGAGCACACTGAAACATTTCCCAGTTCTACTTTTCCAGAAAGCCCACACTGTTGCCTCAACCTGGGAGTGCAAGAACAGGGGGGTTGCCGTTTGCCTGGCAGAGTGCAAGCCATGGGTGGCGGCTTTTTGAGTGATGTAGGACTGCAGCTCTAGAGCCTCCAAAAAAAAGAATGGCATGCTGTTTTGATGCCATGCATGTGCAACATCGGTAAAAATAGGCCACACTACAGCATCTTGCAGAGTTCTAAGACACAGAAGTAATTATGTTCTGAAACCTACAATTATTAATGCAATCACACTGGAAGACTTACGCCTACATCCTTTTGATCAGTAAAGCCAAAAGGGCACCCCCAAGCAACTGAAATGTGGGGGGTGCACCACTAGCCCACCTGGGGGAGAGCAGAGATGGTCAATACATGCCCAAGATTTCAAGGGATTCTTTGCTAAGTTGACTTTCTGTCCGCAGGGGATGAGATGCTGCCCGATGGGACAGAAAAGGCTTGCCAAGGAAAATGCATTAGACTTAGAAACATAGAAACAGAGTGAGTCGAAAGGTGTCTCCTGGACCATCTAGTCTGACCCCCAGCTCCACTCATGACTTGCCTACCATGTGCATGTACAGCCTAGCAGTCAACACTCTCACCGATGGAGCTTCAATCACCTCCCCATGAGATAGCGTTCTATTTAGTGATGCATCCTCACATACACTCAGCCTTTTGTCTCTCTGTGTGGGTTTAACAGGTCCTGCCAAGAACTTGGAAGTCTGTTCAAGATGTTAGCTGGTGTCAGGAGGAACCCTAGCACAGCCGTTAAGAGAAGGCCAGCTTCTGCTGTTTTCCCTGTTCTCCTTGTCGCTCCAGGCCCCCTCTCAGATGACAAGAGTTATTATTTATTGTTAAATAACCAGCACCCGGCAGCTCTACATGCTTGAGCTTCACACTAGAAGCATGTTTCAATAGCAAACACACCAGGCCTGATTTGCTCAGGAGGAGGAGGAGAACTGAAACTAAACTGAAATAGACTGGCAGGAAATGAGGTTTTACGTTTAAGGCATAGGTGTGCAAAATAAAACTAATACTTTTTCTTTAAAAAGATTCCCAGCATAAGTGATTCCAAGATAAAACCACAAGAAGCAACTCATGAGGGACTACCCAAATTCACATGGATTTATCTTTGTAGAGTGTGCATATTTGAAAACCTGCACTTTCTATTAGTCAGCTACAATATAAAACTTTTTCTTCCATGGCAGTGAGGGAGCTGGCAACTGCGTGCATCAGCAGCAGCTTTGAATAACCAAGATTATCAAACTTTCTTTCCAAAACTGTCACTACAATGCATTCCACAGCTTTAACATATATTTTCTGAGAAAAACAGAGGCCCTGGATAAAAATACCCACTAAAATGTAGTACTGCTGCAGTTACAAACACAAATACGTGGTCCTTAAGCTGCAGTTGCATTGCTAACACTTGAAATATTTTTCCATTGTCCAGGATCTTTTTGGCAGTTAAAATGCATCATCAGAAGAGTGTGAAAAAAAGAAAACAAAGACATGGCTGGCTTTATTACCTGGAAAGACTGTTGGTTTACCAAGCTGTAAACTAAGATGAAGCCTTGGCCATTTTTAATATAGAGATCTCGCATCGAAGCAAACTGTTCTGTCCCTGCGGTGTCCAAGATTTCAAGTACTGATGGGGAACAATCCACTTCGATCTCCTTGCGATAGAAATCTTCGATGGTAGGATCGTACTTCTCGATGAACGTCCCCGTGACAAACTGCACGGTCAAGGCTGACTTACCCACCCCCCCACTCCCTAAAACCACGACTTTGTACTCCCTCATGGGCGCTGGCTTCCCCTCCGCACAGCATAAAACAGGAATGCTGCAACCGGCGGGGGGCGGAACGGCTGGGCCGGGGCCGGCTCGGGCAGGGAGCGCAGACGCGGCCGCCCCCACGCCGCCCGGGCAGGAAGTTTGGCTTTGCGGCCGAGGGGCGGGCGCGGGAGACCGGCTGCCTCCGGCGGAGGGGGCCCTTTGGCAGGTGGGCCGCCGCCTCAAGGGAGGGCAAGCGCGCGCGCCTTCAGCCGCGGGGGCTCAGGGGCGTCGGCCAGAGGGGAAACTGAGGCACGCGCAGGGGGCGAGGCGCCGGGGGGGCGGGCCGCCCCTGCCCTGCTCCAGGCGGCGCCGAGGGGCCCTCCGCAGGGGCGGGTCGGGCGCTGGGGCCCGGCCTCTGCGGCGGGGGCGCCGAGCCCAGGGAGGAGGCGCCGGCCCCGCGCAAGGGCTGCTGGGGAGGCGCGGGAGGCCCGCTCCGGTCGGCGTCCGCGCTCGGCGGCTCCGTCCTGCCTGCAGGGGCGACAGAAAGAGCCCGTCAGGAGAGCGCGGCAGAGGGTCGCCTCGCCGCGCCCCCTCCCTCTGCGCCCCGCGCCCCGCCCGCTCACCTGCCCAGGCCCGGCCGCCACTGCCGCCTCACTTCATGGCCGGCCGCGGCGCTCCGCTCAGCGATGGGACACCGCCCGCCTACCCGGAAGACTTTCAGGGCAGCACCGCGCAGGCGATTTCCGGGAAGGAGCGGGGGCGTTAAACACCGTGACACCAGCACGCGCCCAGCAGCGCAGGCGCACTTCCCCCTGGGATGGGGCGGCATTGAACCGACGGCGAAAACGGGGAAGTTTCGAGCTTTGATTGGCACAACGGTCGTTTGACGACAGCAACGTGACAGCGAGCAGCGGAGCACGCGGGAATGAAGAACAGTTGTACGCAGGGCGGGACGCGACTGCTGTAATGCCCCCGAGGGCGTTTACAGAACAAGGGGCCGGAGAGACTCGGGTTCCGCTACGCTGCACAGACTGTGTCGTTCTATCCTCTGAGCCTCCATGTTGGCCGGAGCGTCTCGGTCATGACTAGAGCGAGAATCATAGAAGTAGGGAAAAGAAGAGCGGCCCTGTCGTTCATTTGACTTCCGGTCTGAAATGGGATCGGTTTCCCCTCTCGGTAGGCTAGTGTGAGGGGAGGGGCTCACCATAGAGATGGCGCGCGCACCACTAGAGAACGGCGAACCATAGAGCCCTTCTTTTACCGGAAGTGCAGTGTAGGGGGTACCATAGAGCCGCGCCCAACATTTAGCACCGGAAATGCCCTGAATAAGGAACCAGGCGGAAGCGGAAGCTGGGCGGGCGGTGTCCTCGCCGCACTCCCCCTCAACGGAAGGGGACCCTGAAAAGTGTGGCAGGAGGTTAACAGGGCGGGGCGCGCGATTCTAGTTTCTTTTAGTTGCCTGATCTTGGAAATTAGGTTTCCTTCAGCCAATATGAAATTTATTCAACTGCATTCCTTTAGAATCAGTTCTGGGCCCCCTTTGAGGCGAGGGGGACCTTATAGGACCTTTGCAGGCTTCCTGGCAGCAGGCGAAGAGGATTATTAATTAATTTCCCCAGCTGTTAAAATACATATATAATGCCCCTCTCTTTTCATTTTAGCATGATACTTTTTTATTCCTCAAAATATGTGCTGAAGATGAGTTTGAAAATTACCTTTCTCCCTGGGTGTATTACTACGTTTACTGCTTCTGAATTGCTGCTGATTTCCGTTTTGCGTATTATTTAGTTAAAGTGTTGTTTTTGGTTTTATTGTGCTTGTTATGTATGTTTTCTGAAAACTTTGGCTCAGGCCTCCAACAGGCTGCAGATGTGATGACGGACGTTTTTTGTTCAAGACACGAACAATGGCCATACAATAAGAAATCCCAAGCCCCAGTTAAATTGCTCATGGTTAAATTGAGTGCTATATCTGTGACGATGGGGGGGGGCGGGATGTGTTTCAGCGGTGGGGGTTGTTAACATTGAAGTTCATGAGAAATACAGACTATCATAATCCCATATGTAGTTCACAAAGTAGTGCTGACAGTACAAACACCCATGCGTAATAAAATGATCTGTCCCAAGGAACTTAGTTTGCAAAATATGAGTTCAGCCAATCAAGTTATGATGTTCCTTCAGGAAAACAGTGATTTTACTTCTTTGCTTATCTTGAGAGGCTTCTACATGCAAAAACCACTAGGTGTCGACACAGTTTATATGAAACATCTGAGATCTGAAGATCAGCAGTAATCATGACCTTGGATAATTCTGCCAGCTGAATGCACCTCCCTCTACCTTTGCTTATATTGATCTCTCTCTCTCTCTCTCTTGGATTATGAACAACTTGTACTTATGAACTCATGGACTGTCATAAACCTTATAATGACATCTCTAGAAAAGCAGTCAGTATCACTAGGGAGTTATGCAATATGTTTGGCGATGCATCATCAGTGGCCACATAGTTTCCTAGAGATATTCACAACTTTTAACTATGTGAAGCATTTGGCGACATGTCAACAATGGCAACCTGGTTCCCTAGAGATACAGTATTTAGGCCTTTTCATTCTGCGGCATCAGTTCAACCATACCCAAGCCAGTGGGTTTCAGGGCATGTGTAGGGGTTTGGTTTTTCTTTATCATTGCTCTGGTACCTAGGCGCCTCTCCATGCCAGCTCTTGTCCTGAGCCCTGGCAGCAACTTTCGCATTGGCACCCTGGTTTGCTCCCAAGCCTTGGACATCCAGCTTGGCTGCCTCAACTGGCTGATGGGTTTCCTAGGGGCCCTCTCCCTGAGTGCAGGAATGTGGTCCTGGACTATGCTGCCATCAGTTCCTGTTATTGTGAGCCAGTGTGGATTAGGGACCCTGGAGATGGGTGCTTTAGTCCCTGCTCGGCCATGAAACTTACTGGGTGCCTTTGCCAGCCTCTCACTCTCAGCCTACCATATCTCACAGGGTTGTTGTTGAGAGGACAACATGGGGCTTTGTAAGCCACCTTGGGTTCTTCAGAGAGGAAATCAAGTGGGATATAAATACAGTGAAATAATAATAATAATAGAGTTGGGATAAAATATCCCTCTCTGTGAATTTGCATGTAGTGAGACAGAACTAGCCCCATCTTAAGCATTTTGGGATGATGTTCCCGAAATGAAAGGGGCAGGGCATCACTGACCGCACTGGCCCCCCCTTCCAGAGGGCGGTACTGGCAGATCTGAGGCGCAGCGGGTGACGAACCCCCAGCCATTTCTGATTCCTGTTCCCCAGTGCTGCCTTCCCCCTTGGCAGAAAGGAACCCATGAATCATGCCAACTCGGCTCCGATCACCCTGACTCGCAGGGCGTATTGGCATTTCCTGCCAGCAGGGAAACCACAACGGTTCACCGGAGGAGGAAGCACTCGCTTCCACGCAGCACGTTGCTCTTCCTCTGCTGGGTGTGGCTGGAATCCAAGGCAGAGGCCAGCGGTGAGCAAGAGAGACACGTGGGCTTCCCTGCTCGCCAGTGGATGCAGGGAGCAGAAGCAGTGCTGTGTCTTGCCTGAGTCGCTCGTTCCGGTGGGGTCCCTCTGCAACATCCTTCCTCCCAGCTGCTGCTGGGGTGCCACAGGACCCTGGGGGCTAAGCCTTCCTTCCAGGATTGTGGCCTGCTGGACAGGAACCCAGGAGAGCAGGGCTCGGGTCCTCCCTCTCCCAGGACACTCATCAGTATCTTTGGGTCAGTCACTGACTCTCAGCTTGACATGCCTCACCGGGTTCTGGTGTGAGGATAAAACAGGGAGAAAGGGAACTTTGCGAGCCACCTGGAGTTCCTTTCAAGAGGAGAAAAAACTGTGGGACATAAATGGAATGGAGTGACAACAGGCAACTCACATGCTCCCCTTCAGCAGTACATCTGCATACTCCTTCCGTTGGCAGCCTGCAATCGTCACTCGGGGTTGCTTCTCAGGAAGATGCCCGCCAAGCGTGTGTAGACACCCAAGGAGCATTTCCCGCCAAGCCACCCACAGATGTGCCACACCCTCTGGCCACCCACCTGCTGCTTTCACTGGGCTCCTATTTGGGCTGTTACGGCAACATCTGGGCCCTGTCCCCAAAGGAAAACCGCTTTCCACCTCTCTGCAGTGTCAGGCGGCTCCCACCACATAGCCAGCCAAACTGCTACCCACAGCTAAAATACTGCATCCCGTAACTGGGGCTGCCCCTGACCTTGAGATGATCTCTGCAGCACGGCCTGCCTGGTTCCAGTACTGTCACCATTGCTAAAAACTTTCTTCTTCTTTCAGGCATCCAGCAGGGCAGCACGGGATGTTTAATGCTGTTTTTAGAGCTCTGTGTTTCTCTGTGTTGTATGTTGACATGCACATAACTATCTGCAAACTGCCCAGAGAGCTTCAGTTACTGGGTGGCCTGAAAATGCCATAAGGGAAATGAAATCCCGGGGACAAAGTTTGCTCCGCTGATGCTGAAATGCCAGGCAAAAAGGTTCTCGGCCGCTGCCGGCCTCTTTGCTCGCCTGGCTGTCTCTGGCTCAACAAGGCTCTGACCAAGCATGGAGCAACCAGACCGCCAGGGCCACTTTTGCTCGTCCACCCAAGCTCACAGCTTTGCCCGACTCCCTGCGGGGCCCATGGCGGACTCTGAGGACCAATACATTAGGCTGCCTCTCCTGACTTGCTGGCGTGGCCGCTTTCTGGCTTAATGGTGGGCATGTCATGAGTGGAGCTGGCTGGAGCTGGGGGTCAGACTAGATGGCCCAGAGGCCCCTCCTGACGCACAGTTTCTGTTTCTTGCAAATCCTGCAGCTCTGAAGTGGGTTGCCGGGCTGCTCTGTGCCCACTGATGCTTCAGCGCCAACCAGGCTTCCGCCCCTCCTGATTTTTCCCCGTAGGGTTCTTCTGTTTCCACAGCTGGCACGCTGCAAAGGCAAGTGCTTGGGTTCAAAACGGGGCTTGGCTCTTTCGAGCTGGTCTGGCCCTCGGACTCCGCCCTTATCGAGGGCTTGGGTTCCCCCCTCTTGGGAAAGGTCTTGTGGCTGGCCATGCCCACGTCGGGAACTGCTTTAGGCAATGACCCCTCTGCACGGAGAGCACAGCCCCACACGGGAGGAGGACTCCCTTCAGTAACAGCAGAGTATCTTCACGGGTCTCCACAAAGGAAGGCGGGTTCAGAAGTGCGTGCAAAGAAAGACACTATCTCTGGTCTCAAGGGATGCTTTTCTCACTGCAAGGCAAAGGCATCTGGAGCTGGGTTGTATCTCCTCTTTTGAACCTGAGGTTAGGGTACCCGAACGGCAAATATGTGTTAGGTGACAACCTTCCTTCCTATTGTAACTCTTCTCATTTAGCTTCACAGCTTTGCCTGGATGCAACAGATCCTCACCACAACAGCTTCTGACTGAGTTAAATGGCATCCACCCCAATACAGGCCATAACGGGATCATGCAATGCCAGTCCTATCACGAAAATGGTCTGCTTCATCTGCCATTTCTGTTGGGCACGGAGCACAAGTGGCTGGGGAGCATGGCCTGCTCCACAGTGGCTTCTCTCTGTCCACTAACCTGGGCCTGCCAATGGCTTGGATCAGATGCCTTCACGAGGAAATGCTTAGCCTTCTGTCAAGGACACCGGAAAATGATCTAGTTTAAGGGCGGCAAGCTCCTTGCTTTTATCTTACATACTTTGTTTCTTTCAATTAATTGACTTTGTTTTATCATGCAGTGTATCTACGAGTGGTTGTATTCAGGAAAAGTGGCATTAATTCAGGTGGGCAATTCTGTTTTTAACAGAACCGTTTGCTGAGATCGTCCTGGTACGTACAGGGTATCTGTAGCACACGGCATTCCAGTTCATGTTGTTTTAATTTACAGTCTATTAGAAAGGAGTCACTTGCAGCAGGAATCATGAAAAGTGGGTTGACACAACAGGTCGCTCTATTAACCAGATCAGAAGTGAGTTCAGAATAGGGGAAAGGAGGAGTGGGGAGGGGAGGTGTGAAAGGGCAAGAGAACGTCCCAGTGAGTGGCTCCATACCCAGCCCCATCTCTCCGGGGCTGCATTTATTTAAGAAGGACAAAGCAGGGCATTCCTCCCTTTGGCAGGCGTTCAATTCAGAGTGCCAATTAAGCATCAACTCTCCCTCTCATTATGCTTCTGACCCATAAGTAGATTGTACTGCCATCTGATTTTTTTCATTTTAAATCTGCTGTTACGGCGAGTACTTGTAAAGCAGCACGGGAAGCAACCTCCAGCTTGCAGAGGCAGGGACAATGTCCACGGGATTTCAGAGGGGAGATTTCGGCGTGGGGATCTGCTGTCAAGGACACGGAAGCAAGGGCACTGAAGCTGCGAGCCTTCCCCGATCTGCTCCGAAAGGTCAAGGGCTAGGAGGGCCTGGCTGATGCTTGCAAGCAAGACGGGAGGCATCACTGCTGCAAATGGCTGCCCTGCCCTCTCATCAGACCCTGCGCATTTCTCCGAGTATGAGCGAGTTCAGGCACGCGTCTCTGTAATAAGCGGTGACATGCGCCCGCCCCTTGTCCATTCACCTACCCTTTCATCGCGCCTTCTTTCACTCAATATTTGTGCCAAGTGGCTGTGCACAGTACTGACTGGCTGGGACCCCGTGTCAATCATCAAAGGCCCACCCAGCTTTTTGGAAGCGGTTTTCCAGATGTTAAGCAACAGTTCCAAACGGTGAAATCAAAGAATCACAGAGTTGTAGTGTTGGAAGGCCCCTGGGTCCACCCGCTGCCGCTGCAGGACGCCAAGTCACACCATCCTACTCAGAGGGCTGCCCAGGCGCTCTCTGAAGGTCTCCAGCAAGGGAGAGCCCCCACTTCCCCAGGTAGCAAGTTCCAAGCGGATGTTTCAGCACTTCAGCGACATCTCTTTAAGATTCAATGCACAAGAGAAAGAACTTACACAGCATCCACAAAATTGTGGCGGTGCTTTTTAATTTTATTTTCTAAAATATAATTTCATTTTATGTGTGAATAATTTCAACATGACAAATAGGCTCCATGAACTTAAATTCCAAAATACTGAAGATTGTCTTTCCCCACCTCCCCTGGAAAAATTGCATGCGTTCCGAATTCAGAACACTGATTCAACTTGCTATTTAATTATAAACCTTCTTCACACCAGAGAACAATGTCAAGGTTGTGACTAATCAACCAGAGACTTAAAAAGTAAACTCCTATTTATTAAATGTGTTGATATGGGTTCATAAAAAACATAAAGAGGTACTTTTATACACTTTATTAAAAGATCCAGAAAAATAATATTAAACAATAACAATATAGAAGTAACATAGTAAAATGAGTTGCATTATGCATGGTTCTAGAAAGCACAAACACGCATGACAGAAATAGAAATGTGGCAAAAAGGAAAAGAAGATCAAAGCATACACCCTGTTGATAGCAGCTGAGGGAAAGGTTTTTCCTGGCCTGGAACAAAGATACGGGAATACGGCAAATCTGCCCAACCGTGGAACCAGAATGTCACAACGATTCCCAGCAAGAAGGTGTCCGTCCTGCTGAGTGGGTGGATTGTTACGGCTCCTCCTTCAGGCAGAGTCTGCTGCCCTGAACCGTGAGCACGGGATAGCTCTCACGGGAATCCACACATGCACAACCCCAAAGCGGGCACTATTTAAAGTCTGTGCAACACGGTTCCCATTTCAAAGATGAAACCAGTCTCTTTAATGTTATCCCCACTTTGCACTTTTTGAGCCAATTGGGGAGGGAATTTGATTTACTTTGTTACGCCGACCCAAGCCCACAACACGAAAGATCTTCCATGCCAGTGTAAGAGAGTTGGGAACAGCATCTTTTGGATTTTAATTTTTCTTAACCAGAATTCAAACAAAGGAGAACTTGATCACAATGCACGCACTGTACATCCCGATTTCAGATCAAAAGACCGTATTTGTCCCAGGTTAAAGTTTGAATGCAGAACTGGAAATCTAGCCAGAGTCTCTGGGGGTTTTCTTGTAGATGCATTTCTGCTATTGGTGACCACTGTAGAAGAACTCAACTTTCAGTAGAAAACAATTGTCAGGGATTTAGTTCTTCAAAATCTCTTCTGGCAGAGGGGAAAAAGGCCTAATTTTCTATTTAAAAAACCCAGTTTAATCCTGCAGCTTTTTATTTGTGACTTTGATTGCTGAATGTCGATAGAATATTTCGCCATCTTTCCAGCTACCCACTAGATCACCTCTTGTGGTTTGTGACTTGGAAGAAAAACAACCCCCCCGCCCCCCATGACGGATGGCCGTGTCATTCCCTCAGCTGCTAAGATACAAAAGCCATGGCAACAAAATTATTTGGCTTCCACCACTATCAAATAGCATCTGTGTACAGTAATAAAGATCTGGAACCTTGTAATCCTGCGTCAGGTAATTTCCCTCTGTTGTGTGTTTGGAAAAGACCACGTGGTTTTTGTCGTTTCAATCGTTGCATTGTTGGTTGGTTGGTTTGCATGTTTTGCTGCCTTCTCCCAAGAGGCACGTGCCTTCCTGATGGTCAAGAATATGGCTGTGAAGGTCACTAGCACAGGTGTTCCCTAAGTGCTCGCCCAGACGGCCTCCGAGCGGCAGCCTCCCCTTGCGCACGGGCCCCGTTTGTCCTCGTGCGGAGGAGAGGCCCTGCCCCCGAGGCCCTCGAGCGGAGAGGGCCTTCCACACGGATTTTCCTGGACTTCATGGCACTTCTGGTGGAGGTGTTCACAGCCACGACACACTGCGCGTGTGAACGGGTGACAGCGCACACTTCCCCCACCCGGCCCTCCTTGGGCACAGGAGGCGCTCGTGCATCGTCAGCAGCACGCGATGTGCAAGTTCTTCCTTCTCGCAAGACGTGGTTGCCTTGTGCGCCCTTTCCACGCATTTGTAGCACGCGCAAAGCCATCTTGGGGGCCCGCATCCAGGTCGCTTCGGGATGGTCATGGAGGAGAAGAGCTCCATGCTGTTTCACTGCAGAAAGAGATGCCTTGCGGGTAAGCGGAAGCATCTTGGACCGAAGTTGCCATGAAAGGTACCCCAATCCTCCTGCACTTGCAAGCTCAGCCTACTGTCCTGTGCTCATCTGATGTTCCCCGAGCTCTGTCTGGGTCGAAGCAGGTCGGGGGAGGCTGCCCTGGGCCCCCTGAACACGTGGCCTCTGCTCCGCTCCTCCGTCTGGGAAGCACCTGGCCTGGCACACAACGCAACTGGGACACGCATCTCTCCTGACAAACAGCCACACTTCCTAGCTCGGTGGCAAATCCACCATGCTCCCATCCAGCATGGAGAACGCCGCCACCTCGCGTCCTCCAGACACTTGGCTTTGCGAGCAGCGTTGCCCCGATTCCTCTCCTTCCACCAGCTTTGGTGTTCCTCCACTTGTGTGGAAGCCTTGCCCTTCATTTTGCCCCTGACAGACTCGCTTTGGCTTAGGGGTAAATGCAGATAACCATCTGCCAAGTCAACCCAAGTGGCCAGGCCCGCCCAGCATCTGCCAACACAGAGAGGAGAGCGTTCCCTCACATCTGCTCTGGAATCTAGGCAAGCGAGAGGGAGGCCGAGTTCTCCTCCAGACACCCGGCTCTCCCCAAGGTTCAACATCTGCCTCGAGCAAGTGACTGCAGGGACATTCCTTGCCCGAATTTCCTCAAATCACACGATCAGAATGCATCCTGGGGGTCGACAGAGCAGCAACACCGCTGCTCCAAATTCCTGACAGAGTTTCCCCTATAGCAACACCCCTATTAACCCCTGGTTGGGAGGAGACCAGCCCTTGGACAGCTCCCTCAGCTTCATCGCTCTCTTCTTGAACTTGGGATCTCTGTAGCAGCAGAATCGAACAGTTCCACCTTCAGGGCTGAGGTGCATCAAAGAGAGCTTCCAGATCTATGGGATCCCGCCAGGCAGGCGCAGGTATTCTTCAGCTCAGAGGGGAGCTGTCACTGGGCTGGGCAAGCAGAACCATGTTTTTGCCAGAAGCGGTGGAGCTGGGAGACAGCCCTTCCACGCCACCCAGAAGCGATCTGCCACCACAACCAAGCACCAACAGTACAAGGCGGGTCGGCGAGCCTGCGACCAGCTCCTCCTCCGGTCGGACTGAGCAGGGCTCTTCTTTGGTTCTTATTTCCACTCGGGACTGGCAGCAAAACACTTAGGGAAAACCTTTGCTGGTGACCTTGCTTTTTCTCAATTAAGTGCTTGTTTCCCTTAGGTTTGTTTTTGTCATCTGAGTCGACCCAGAATCATTCTGCTGTATTGTAAGCTGTATGGCAAACTACAAAGCTTGGTGTAATTGCAAAGCAACATCATGCGTTCAGATAAGTTTTATAGCAAAAAATCTCTTCCTTTTCAAAGCCTTAGTAATCTCTTTTACAAACTTTTCCTTGTATTATTACAGACTTTTTAATATATTCAAAATAAGTTCCAAGGATTTCTTTCGTGGACTATGTACATAAGTGCAAAAAGATGTGTCTCACACATTCGTACACTGAATCAGTTTAACTGCAGCACATTTGTATCTTCAACACTGTTACAGGGTCACTCCACAATATTTTTTTCTTATGTACAGCTTTTCTTTCTTTATTTCCCAGTTGTGATTTGGACGTAATCACGTAAAAGCTTCTAATTACAGAAATGTGATGTTTGGCATTGGAAGCAACAAATACATTTGTTACGAACGTATTCGTGTTGAGAAGCAATGGTACTTTTTTCCAGAAAGTTCAAGATCTGATCAACGTCCTGAATTTGAATCTTTCCTGCAATGAAGACCCCACTAATTGCAAAACTCCGTTTCTGAGAGTCTGAGTCATGGGGTCCTGCTGTGAGAAAGTCTCTGGGTAACAAAACCAAGGGCCAGTGCAAAATCCGAAGCGAGCGCTGGTTGCAACACATCCTATAGCACAGGATGGGACTCAGCTGTAACCAGCGTTTGCTGAATTGTGCCCCAAATACTGCTTTGGAGGTTGTCAAATTCCAAACTGGGTTTTCCTACGTCTGTTTCCGCTTTATGGGAAAGAAGCCAAACAGCTTCCCGTCTCTGTATTGCCGAGGAGAAAAATAATGTGGAATGCCCAGACCCACACAACAATCCTACAAGCTATAAAACCTGACTCTAAATCCATGTGTTGTAAACTTTTTGACTGAAAAAGTGACATAAAGGACACAGATCCAGCGTTCACATGGGACTTTGGGATTTTAAAAATATTCAATCATCTCTTTCTCTGACAGTATCGAACTGTACCTTAAACGAACCCATACTGTTACACATTACTTTTTTAAATTTACATGTGAAAATTTCACAAATAATGTATACAAAGGTAGCCATGTTGTAGTTTTGTTGCCATAGCAACAACAACTTAATATAATTAGTTAACAATGAATCTATCATTGTAGGAGTTACAAAGTTAATTCTTTTTTTGTTTGTTTGTTCTTAAACTGCAAACTATACAAACTAGTTATGGACCTTATTTGTTATCTATATCTTGACATGCGCTTCAGTGTCGTTTTTGAAGGTAACTAAATGAGTCGAATACATGTATTTAAAAATCTTAAACATTCTCTAACTCTCCTTCAAAAATTAAATTCATTAGTTACTAAAGATATAATATATATATATGTGTGTGTATATATATATATATAAAAAACAAGAATGAAAAAAAATTAAACTAACAGTAAAAGAAATGGAAAATAATGCAACATGGATTAACCTGTTGTAGCCTAGTAACAATGTCTTTTTAAACTATATTTACAATTATTTCAGGCTACCAACGAATATTCTTTTTCTTTAAAAAAGTTATTACAGTCTTTAACATACAATATATTCTAAGGCCTTCATCAGGCACATGGTAAAAATCAGATCATTAGCATCATACATCCTTTCAGAAGAAGGGGAAGTTAAGATTTTCCTCAAAAAATTCACTTTTTCCCATTGCAGGTAGGTGAAATGCACCAGGGATTGCGCGGGTGGGAATCCAGTTTCTTGGCCTACTTCAGCTGCGATCTTATGAAAGCTTTGGCAGGACAAAAGCCTACAGTCCGAGCATGCACCAGCACGTGGCTGCTGATAGTTGTAGCACTTCTGTTCTGTCTAAACTTGCATAGGATGTGAGTATGGAAGAGTTTTCCTGTATTAAGTACTAGGCAGAGTCGAGAGTGCCCAGGAGATGGGCAAGTCGCTTGGTCTGATGCGGCCGAACAGCAGCCTGGAGTTGCAGCCCTGAAGCGCGTTTACCAAGATGGAAGCCCCATGCAACACGGGAAGACGCACTTCTGAGTGAACGCGCCCAGGGCTGGGCTACAAGGCGTCCGTTCTCGGGGGGGGGGGGGGGGTTGCCTCAGTATGAACGGGGGCTGGGCGGGAGCAGCACCGGGTGAGCGGCCCCCCGACCTGCCTCCCGCACGTTTTCTCACCTGGCGGCCCTGAGGCCTTCCCTAGGAGAGGCCCCACTGAAAACCTGGCAAGGATTTCGCTCTGCAGCAGCCGCCTGGGACAAGAGGGCCTCCCGGCCGATGTCCCGGGGAGCAGGGACCTGTGAGGAGCCCACGGCAGCCGGGGCCAAAAAGAGCACGCCTGGGCGCCGAGATCTCTCCAGCAATGGCCCGCCCCAGCGCCACGTGACAGGTGGGCCCAGAAACTGGGTTTTGGAAGAGCTGGAGCAGTGGCATGAGCAGCGGGCCTGGCATCCAGAGGAAGAAAATGCACACCCACAAAAATCCGACCACGGTACGCACGCAGACCAGCGTTTCAGATCCCGGCTTGTGTGTATTTCAGTCCTCAGACGAGGTGCGGGTCCACATGTGCCCGCCCCCCCCCCGAAAACGCCTCGCCATGCCCGAGGACTCCCGCCCAGCGGGGCAGGCCAGCCAGCCACGGAATTCCGCCCGCAAACGCTCCGAGTGCAGCACGTGGTACATGGCAGATCAGGAAGAAGTGTCTGGGAGGGTTCGCCAGCGGAGCGCGTGGGATGGCTGGGGAGGGGCGAGGAAACACCGCGGTTCATTTCAAATGCACCAACGATGCCACAAAACTGGAATGGAGCTATTTCACGCTAAGCCAGAGAGAGACACGCGGATGCCTATCACAGGTCTGGGACTACAGCCCCCATCCTCCCTGCTGATGGGCCACCCTGGCTGGGACTCACAGGTGTTTTGGTTCCAAACACCTGAGCAGTACCTGCTGCCCACCTCCGGTACCAAACAAAACGACGTTCTGTGGCTGATAATGAAGAAGTTGTGTTCCAATGCATTGGAGCACTACTTAAAAAAAAGGCAACCCTTTTAAGAATCCTTGCATTTTAAAATCCCTCTTTCACTGTCTGTGTACATTATGTTAACAGTTTAGTAGCAGGTTTGGGTTTTGTTTTTGTTCTTTTTTACATTTTTATTTCTTTCCATGGATTATTTTCACTAACCTTCTTTTCCCCCCTCAAAAGTCGTCTATCAGCGTTTCCTTTTCCCTCTGCAATGACCCGTTTTACTCAAGTTTCAGCATTTCTTGCATATTGTTTGCATAAGGCTGAGAGGAAATGGGCACACATACACCAATATATATATATAAAAAAAGAGTCCATGCGTGCGCACGCAAGAGAAAGAACTTTGGATAAATTAAAAAGAATCTTTAGGTTTGTCCAACTTGGGAAGCTTATAAAAAGTTGTTAAAATTATACTGATTTGAACAAACTTTACATACATCTCTGTAGTCAAATAAAAGTGGAATATCTGTGTTTGCAACATTTTGTTTAGAGTCACCAAACAGCTCAGCGACTTTGTAAATAGAACACACCTATGTAGGATTTTATAGTCTGTCGACTGCGTTTTTTTTCTTTCTTGAATAAAGAAGTCATTGCACAACAAGCTTTAATTAGTGCTACCCTCACAATGGCATTTTTTCATTCCCCCCCACCCCCAACCCCTTTGTGTTAATTTTGGTGTTGTCCCCAGTGCTTCAAGCTTTGCTTTTTCCTCAAAACATTTCTCTTACAAACAAATGTTAAATTTGCCAACTACTACTTAAAAAAATGGTGGCACCTAAATAGTCTACCCCGAACTCATATTCCTGGACCCCATCAAGAAAGAATGCATATGTTTGCGAGTGTGTGTGTGCGTGTGAGAGAGAGAGAGTGTGCAGCTATGTGTTTATGTGTGTGTGTGCCGGGGTGCAAACATTCCAGGCATGCACTAACGACTCCCACCTTCTGCTGGACAACTCACCCCCGATCTGCTGAGGCCGCCCTGCTTCCTAGTGCCACCATTTTTGCAAAAACAAGCAAAGTTGCACCTCTGAAATATTCTCTTTTCAGCGCTTGGAAACTGTGACACGAATGCTGTGGAGACGTTTTAGAGTTTACATTCTATACACATCCTTGCGAGATGTTGCTCTGGAGCATCATTCTGAGAAAACAGGAGATGGGTTCTGCCAAAGCGCCATGGTTGCACCGAAACCCCGCGACAGCACTGAAAACAACCGACCTCCCTTAAAACCATAAAGCTAACACAAGCATACATATGGACTTATATATACAGACATGTCCTTCCCAACTAGAACTCAGGTATGTTCTTTGTAGAGGCACTGCCACCGGCTGTGCAAAACCCACCCATCAGGATTATTTTTAAAATACGCACACATTTTCTCCTAGGAAGTACTCAGTCACTTGTTTTCCCAACTAGCAAAGTTACAAAGCCGAGAAACAGATGGTGAGCCAAAGGGGGAATGGTTATGCTTTTGCTTCCTCCACCCCACTTCAGAGAAGGCAGAACTCTTGCATTAAAATGACTGGGAAAATGCAAAGAAATATATTAAATGTTATTTGATGAGATAAATCACAACAACCTTCTATGGCTTCCTGCTAGGCCTAAAGGCCTTGAGCAACCCTGCAAAGTAGCACCAAGATAGGGTTTTTCTGGCTCAAAGATGGGCTTCCATATTTCTCACCAAATAGTGGGGCACGAATGTTCCAAAGAGAGACCGATTTCATGGGGTTCAAACTTCAGTGATCAATCTCGGATCATGACTGCTAATTTAAAAAGCCAGAACTTTGATCCTTTGAAATTTACTGCTAGGCGAAAAACTAGCATTTACAGCAAAATAATGAGAATTATACAAGCAAACTTTCGAGTTCCAATTCAGTGCATTTTTGTTAAATGTGTGTGTTATGAGCTGTGATTTAGCTTGGCATTTCTATTTATCTATCTCTGGAAAGGTTTCCCTTACCTTGAAGGCTTAAGATCGCTTAACGATGTCCCTCTAGGTTTTCTAACTGCCTGGAATTCCCTTGGTCAGAAAGGGCCCAGATGCCTCCCTCAGTGATTCCCGACTATGCAAGCATGCGCAACAAGCAAGTGTTATGCTTCTGCTCGTGCATATTTTTAAATCCACAGAGCAAAGCAAGCAGGAAGACTTAGATCAGAAACTAATCCAAAGGTAGGAATTCAGCTGGGTGTAGCAACACAGGTTAAGCAGGGGTTTTACTCTTAAACAGGTTTTACCCTTCTGCCACAATAAAATAACTCCTGAGACTTTCCTCTACCTTAAGACCACTTTTGGTGAAAAGCCTTTGTCAGGTGTGGTTTGGCTTTAAAGCCTTGTGAATCCACCACCAAATGTAACAGGAACTGGACACTTGCCACAGGAAATGCATGTGCTCTGTCTACCTTGGCTCCTCTCCTGATATTGGCTGGTTGGTTTTGTCTGACTACCACACAGCAGCAGCAATATGGATTTTGGGCACCACGGAGCCTGGGGAACTGCATCAGGAAGTCACTCTTATGGTGAGAGAGATGGAGCCGGAACGGCTCAACAGGAATGGGCCACTGCTCTCCGAGGCCACTAGCCTCACTTTTGGCCTGTTCCAACTGTAAAATGAGGCTGCGTGTTGTAACAGCACGAAACCTTCTTCCTGGGGGCAACTGTTTGCACTCTCCTCTCCACACTTGCCAGCGTTAATGGACCGAACAGCGGCCATTTCACATGGCCGATGTTACGTGTTGCGTCCTGGCTCCTTCCTTGGGGCTCACCGCCAGACCTGATCTCATGCCCTAACTGATCGTGCGGCTGGCCTCGTGAATCTTCTTCACCCCGCATCCGATGCGTGTCAGCCCCACCTCCCCAGATTTGTCTTCTTCACTGTTCCTACGCTGTGCCAAGGACAGGATATCAACCAGCCCATATTAAAACACACAAGACCTAAACAAAATGGGTTGGTTGATCCAAAATGACCAAATACTGCACCCACCAACACAAGGACTGGAATTTGAACTCCATTCTTTCATCTGTGCTGCAACACTATGGAGCTGAGGTTTTATGCACAGGCTGGGAACTCCCCAGGAGATTGTTTTAACTCTGCTTTTTTGTGTGTCAACTGTCCACGTTACAGAACCAAGCCTGTCGTTTGGTGCTACTTTCCTGGGTTAAAATACACATCACTTAAGTTTTAAAGAAAAATAGAAGTATTTCATGCCGTGTTGAAACACAACAGAGTGCTTTGATCTCCGTGGCAAAACCCCATTTTCAAGGAACTGTACGGCCCATCTTGCTGCAATGTCTTTAAAATAGGGTCGCTAAAATGTCAGGAATGGATTGTGCGCCATTTGCAGCTGAAAATGGCACTTGAACGAAGAAACATCACTCATTTCCTGCCTGCCCTCTGAATGAAAATCCACGTGGCCCTGGTGGGGCCGATCCGCTCTGGATCCATTTCACATTCCGGCCGCTTTTTGCATCAGTGGCTGTCCCTTCCCATGACTTGCAACTCACGCCTAGAGACTCAATTCGAAGATGGAATCCAGTTTTCAGATGGAAGCTTCTAAAAATCCTGAACATTCTTATGTCTCTTTTTTAAGCACATAATTCCTGTTTCCCACTATAACATTCTTAGCTTGTCATTAAAAAAAAGAAAAAAGAAAAGAAAAACCCAGAATAACCACAGTATATGAAAATATAAGACATTATGATAATGACAAAAAATGATGTTGAGTATACTTGATAACGATGTACAACTTTCTCTCTCTCTCTCTCTCTCTCTCTCTCCCCCCAAACAAATCAATATAGACTAGGATGTAAACAAAACAGTAAGATAACACTTTAAAAACAGACAAACATTTATCCATCGACAATAGAACAATAAACCAATTAAGTCCATTGTGCAGGAGCACTTTGTCTTGATGGTAGTCAGAAAAAATGCTTTTTTTAAAAGTGTGTTAAAGGAAGGTGTTATAAAAGTCTATTGTTACAGTTCTCTACTTCTATGACTTGTATACCAGAGCGCTGTTTTGTTAATTGTTTTTCTATAGTGCTTTTTAAAAAAATGTTTGACATTCCCATGAATCAGTTTTTGGTTAACATGTAGGCTGCGATCGGCTTACTGTAGATGTTGGAGAGGAGGAAAAGATGGACTTCTAGATTTGCAGTGTCTGGCTGCAGCTTCCCACCAAGAGAGAAAAGTCCAGATAACTCCATGACTTCGGGATCAGAATTTCAGCATGGTTTGCTGGAAGAAAGCAAAAAAGCAGGCGATGAGGCAGGGAACAGCTGCAGCCTCCCAGGTGCCTCTGTGTGCAGGTGCACTGAACCGCTGGGATACGGCGGGGCGAGGCAAGCAAATGAGAGGTGTCTTCCCGCCAGCCACGCTGTCTTCTGGGCTACCCTGTCCCTCCCCTTCTGTTCTGGGGCACGTTGCTCCTCCCCTTCCGTGTCCCAACCTAGTTTTATCTGGCCATGGGGCATGTGAGGCCCTCCTCGTTTCCAGAGAAGGATGGTTGCCCTCACTAACGTCGTGTTGCACAGGAAGCCACCGAGTTACAAACAAGTTCTGTTCCTGAGATCGTCTTTAAGCTGAATTTATATGTAAGTTGGATCATGTACATTAAGGACCATATTTAGCATGTGTAAGCAAAACATTTGTCTTAGTATACGTCTATATTTTACCTTTCCATACATATAAAACACTTAAGAGACACTTCTGTATACAGTTGGCCCTCCACATTCTTGGATTAGGGGCACATGACCCCCACCAAAATGGACAAGCTGGGAATATTTCTAGCCACCCGCCCCACAACTCACCACCACCTCCTCTTTGCAGCAAGAAAATGCCAGGTAAATTTCCTGCTCTGGATGGGAGGGCAGGAAAGCATGCTCTGCAGGCCTCCCTCTCTCCCTTTTCACTTCTTCTCTATGATGCTCTCTAGGCCTCCCTCTCTAGCCTTTTACTTCTTTCCTCTCTATGGTGATGCTCTGTAGGCCTCCCTCTCTCCTCTTTAACTTTTCTCTCTCTATGGTGATGCTCTGTTGGCCTCCCTCTCTACCCTTTCACTTTCTCTCTATGGTGATGGTGATTTTCCACAGTAGCAGGCCACAGAAACTTGTTTGCATTTGTTACCATGAACCATTCATCTTTATAAATATTTACTTTAATTAATAAGTTTTATGACAGTTTGTTCGGAGTTACGAATGTTCGTAACCTGGAGAATGCCTGCACGTCCGAAATTTTTTGTTCATCAGAAGTCCTATTTGGGGTCGGAGTAATCAGCACCCCCTGCCTGGAATTCCTACTAAATGGAGTGACTGAGCCTCCACATGGAGGTCTCACTGTGCCATCAGAGAAGCTTCCTCCCACCCCCCATGGCAAAAACGAATCAATTAGGCAACAACAACAACAAATGGGAAGAACTGGAGACATCTGCAGCATTATAAAAAATTAAGTGCTATCATGAATTTATATCAGCCCTTGAATTCAGTTCAAGGCAAGACCTTTGGCATAAGCTACCCTTTCAAAATGTCTGCATTTGTTACTTCATTCCCTTGTCACCTTTCCATTTCAAAAAGCAACTTCAAAGCAGCTAAGAAATCCTAACCATTTGCAGAGAAACGGGCACCTAGATGTTCCAGGGAGCTCTTCGGAGATGCGGGCCTGGATTAATTTTAAGGCATAAGCAAGCTGAACTGGTGTTCTGACTAAATGGGGGTCTTGATGGATTACTGTGATACTTGAAGTGTTTGTGAAAAATTCCACCTCCACCCTCCCCTACAGGGTGTGCCCTGGCAGAATGCAGAGAGTTAGACCTGGACTGCAAATAAAGCGAACCCAGGGCTTACTGAACCCCGGTTCAGTCGAGACTTGCTACCCCACCAGAGTTTGGCTGGCAGACGACTGCCCAACCCAGAATTCACCAATCCACACCACGGGTATCGAGCATGAACCCAGCCTTAAACGAGCACTCATTCCCTTCTCCCCAAAAAAGCGCATGGTGACAGTAAAGGAATCCGGCCCCAAGCATTTAACAATTCATAGTTGCAAAATTTGGCTGTGAGCATGGCTTTCTGCAAAACCCCCACATGCCCAAATTACACTGATGTGGGTCTCAGCCCCCCAGGAGGCCACATCACACGGTGCTTTGGAATGCGCACACCAGCTCTGCCTTTGCAGCCAGGAACCCGGTGCGTCCCAGCCGAGGGCGATCGTTCAGAGAAACTTACTGTTCTGTAGTTGCTTCTACATTTGTGAGACAAACATGCTGCTGTTCAGTTCATCTACTGATAACTGGGATATCTAGAATGGAATAAAGCGAGAAGAAAGATTTCCTATTAAACTGTCCCCGTGATGTTCATTCCATCTATTCACTTTCATGCCCCGCAATTTGCACAGAAGCTCCCTGGAAGTCAGTGCTCCCTGGACTAGTGCCTCGAATCACAACTCCTGATCCCCGCAAACGGCCAGGGCCAACTCAGAGGCCTGGTGGAGGGAGAACTTTCCGTTTTCCTCTACAACTGAAACCAGAACTGGCTTGTTGCCTGCACTAGCATTAAATGGGGAGAACCTGCTGCCGTGGGCAGACCGCTTATCCATTTCATCACACTGGGAGCAGAGCCATTTCTGCAGAACTCACCTCCCAGATGGACTAGGTGGGGTAGGCTTCATTTTAAAAGTTTTTAAACTGAGTTTTCAAAGATAAATCCAGAAAGCCTGACTGAAGTGTTACAGGACAGCCCTCTGAGTGGGATGGTGTGACTTGGCATCCTGCAACAGCAGGGGGTTGGACTTGATGGCCTTCAAGGCCCCTTCAGACTCTGCTATTCTACGATTCTATGAAGTGAAAAGCACCTTTTAGAAAGCATTGTGTGAAACTGTAACGGTGGCAGTCGTGAAAGTGGCAGCCTTGAGTGCTCTGACTTGAAATCTGCTCTCAAGTTTACTTCTGGGACAGAAAGGTAGCCTTGGTCTATGAGCCCACACTATTTCTTATCTGCCCTGAAAAAGCAAGCAGAAACTTCCTGTCAAGGTAAATACTGGGCTATAGTAAATGGCCCTTGGGGCAAGCTGCCACATTTCCCTATTAGCATTTAACCAATTAGCTAAAGAGCTGCTGTTGTTCATTTCTACTTTCTTTCCAGGGCAGAAGGACCTAAACCCTTCAAGGGAGAGATGTGTGGTGTGGTATTTTGGGGGCAGCTCAGAAAACAGAAGTGACACGAAGGTGTCTTTTAAGGCCTAGAAACAAATGCGAACCCGCAACACTGTGCTGCTGTGGCTTAGAGGATCCAGCAGGAAATACCCCACTGTTTCCCACTGACAGGCTTAGCCGTGTGACTGAAGGGCTCCTCCACACACACCTGTGTCCTTGTTCTACTCAGGGAAAAGGGATCGCTCCGCCATGGCTGCCAATACGTGCAAACTGGTTTTTCAAGGTTCCCCATCCCTCATGCAGCACAGTGGCTGCCGGTGGGGGGGGGGGGGGAGCGGGCCACACCTAAAAGCGGACACTGGGGGGGGGGGAGTGACTCTGGGGGGGGGGGGGGGGGCACCCCATGTCTACAAGAGGGATGCGTCTTCAATGGCTTAGGCCAATGGTCCTGTTACTTATCCCAGGAGCCCTGACATGTGCTTCTATTTACAAAATTACTAAGCCTATTATCAAAAAGAAACTGAGCAGCCACCTGGGAGGGAGGGTCCAATCTGGTGTCCTGCAACCGCAGGGCGTTGGACCCCATGACCTCCAGGGCCTTCCAACTTGTCTATCCTGATTCTACGATTCTATCCCCGTGTGGAAAGAAGGACAAAAATCAAGATGGAGCTTGAAAACCCCCATGAGGCCAGGAAAAGTGCAGCGGGTGGCTCAGGAAAACCTTACTGAGGTAAAGGCGCCTGCCGCAGCACGCTGGGTGGCCGCTTGGCCTCGGCAGGCCGGGATGCTCCGAGCTCCACCCAGGCGACCACCTGGCCCGGAAGGCGCCCTCGGCTCCCCAGGGTCGCTAGCTGCTCTCCCTCCCGCCGGCCGGCTTGGCGGAGAAGCTGCCCGCCCGCTCCGTCCGCCTCGCGCTCCCCCACGGGATGGCTGCGCTCGCCGGGGGTGTGCGAGCTCTGGCCACGCTGGGGCCCTCTGGCCGGCACAGGCAGCTCTGGGGGCAGCACCACGTCTGCACCGCCACACGGCCCGGGCCAGGACCCTCAGCCCCCTGCGGGATGCGGCTCCTCGGCGACCCCGCAGCCTCCAGAGACGCTGAAAGAGAAGCCATCGAAAGGGCCAAACCTGATTGGCTGTAGCAGTTGCAGCGAAAGGAACGCTGGTGGCCGGAGTTGTTGCTGCGGAGACAGTGGTGGGCGTAGCACCGTGCATCATGGGAACTTTTCGGAGGGAGCCATGGAAGCGACACAACGGCGGGGTGCAGCGTGTGGCAACGGGTGGCGGGGGCATGGCGGGAGCCGCGGCCACAAGCCATGGTGACGTCATGGGAAGGCACACCGGGGTGCGGCATGCAGCCACAGGGCAAAGCAGGCAGCGCCGGGGGGGGGGGGGGGGGGACAAAAGAGAAGAGGGGGTGGAAAAGCCCATTACAATTACGATCAAGGAAAAGTAACTGAAATACTCTCAAAACCTGGTTAACACTGATACGCAGAACAATGATGCATCAGACTCCAAGGGCCACGTTTCCAAAGTTGGGGTGCGGAAGGGGGGACACACGGCCAAAGGGACCCCTCCCTGAGGTGGCAGCGGCAGCTGCGAGCCAAAACGGGCCATGCCAAACGCGGGCTGCCCCCCCCCCCCCCCCCCCCCCCCAAACCCTGCTCCCCCCACATGGCCCCGAGGCCCGGGGGCAAGGCTGGGGCCCTCCCCCAACCCCCCCCCCCCCCCCCCCGAAGGTCTGTGGTCTGGCTGCTCGGAGTGCGATTTCAGCCCATGTGGCCTGCCGGGATTCTCTCACAGGGCATGTGCCGCTTTCTCCCCAAAGTCCGGGAGGGGTGAAGGAAGACAACATTTCTCACAGTACGTGGACACTGCCAGAACACACGTGAAGAAAGGGAAGGGGGAAAGGGACAGGGGGAGACGGGGGGTGGGGGAATAAACCAACAGCAACTGCACCAGTTGGGCTGCTTGGATGGCAATGAGCAACTCGGTGCTTTCCTGGGATACAGCCACTGAAAGCCGCAATAGGAACACTGCGTGCGTGTGTGTGTGGGGGGGGCTGCCTTTGGGGCAGAGCATGGCAGCCAAGTGCTTGGATTCCTGATTCAGTCCCTGTGGCGTTCACGGTGCTGAGGCCGGGAAGGCAAGAAACCAAGAGGCCTGCGGGTTTGTTCCCTCTTGCACAATGCTGAATGCTCCCAATGGCTGGACCCAGAAACACACGCCTTCTATGCTTGGACAGGGATCCTACGGGGTTAAATCACAGGGCAAGGATCGTGCCAGCTCTGTCCTAAAGCAAGGTGCCGATGTGGCGTTCGCCCTACTTCCCAATGAAATCCGATGGCAAAGCGAAGAACGCAGCCTCAAGGAAAGGGAAACATTGCAAACCCTTGGTGCTTATTTCTCTTAAACGTAACTGGTGGTGTTTCTACACTTCCCGAGAGCTGGAACTCTCTGGGGGTTGGCAGTGAATAAAATCCCAAAATGCAGCACAAGAGAGCGTGTCCTCACCCCCGCCCCCCAAGCGCTGAGACTCGGGCTGGGGCAGCACCAGGGTTTAGATCAGAGGCGCAGAGCCTCCGTCAGGCCAAGGAGGGGGTTTGCTTCCGGGGGCACTTGCAGGGGCTGCACCCCAAAAGAAATGGGGCAAAGTGCTGCCCCCGCCGCCCAATGTTAGCGTCAAGCTCTTAGGCCAGCAACTAAGTGGAGGCACTGCGACCTTTCAGAATGGGGAAAAAATCCAAGAAACTACCAGCTGAGCTGTGCTGCGGGTGGTGGGGGGAACAGGGCCAGGGAAGGTGTTGTCCCCCTTGGAGGGATCCTGCTGGGCCAGATCCGTCCCAGGAGCCGAGGTCCCACACCCCGGATTTCGACTCTCTGCACGTGTGCATGAGAGAGGGAAGCATGTGCTCCTTGGTCCGACACCTAATCCTTGTACCCAGAAATGCAGCAGGGCAGGGAGGAGGCTGGGGGGGGCGCGGCTTGGCTCGCCTCAGGGCATGCAGGGAGAACTGTGTGGGGAGAAGCCCCCATCGCGACAGTTCAGCCCCCACAGACAAGCTCAACCAGGGAGTGTGGAATTTGCTTAACCAGCCTGACCTCACCTGGCAACTGGTAGTACTCCGCGGGCCTTGGCTTACTGCACACTAAGCCCATCGGGGACGAACGGCAAGATGTAAATATACTGAAAGGCCGTCCATCCATAACGAGGGCAGGGAAGCAAGTAAACAAAGCCCAGAGACTTTTAGTAATGGGATGGCATAGAAAAACGTCTAATAAATAAAATAAAATAAAATAAAGTAAGACTGGGTCACTGGTGGTCCAAAGGAGAGGGGCCACGACCGAAGAGAACTCTTCTCCCCATTGCTAGCCCTGTCCTAGGTGGGTAGGAGAGAGGCCTAAGCCCTAGACGCACATTCCGCAATGCAGGATTAACGAGCCCTTCCTCTGAAAAAAAATTACTGGGCAGAGAGATGGTGCTCTTTGCCCCTGCCAGCCTCCTAGACACTTGGATGTGGCCGATTAGCGTAGGGGGCCAGGACAGGCCACGTGGCACAGAGGGCTTCCCTCCAGCCCCACCTGCCAAGGTATGCATCCTCCCGTAACGAACCATGACCAAGCCAACCTGGCGGTGGGGAGGAAATAGGCCCAGCGCTCCAAGGGATACCTCCCGAGCAGTGGGGAGAACACGGAGCCCTTTGGCCATGCCATGTTTACGGAATCAGCAAGGACCAGTTTCGCGCCCTCTTAGTTCCCAGCTGGAACCAAGCCTCCCTGTAACAGAAAGACATGGCAGAGGGGAGCGGGGGGACGGGACTCTGTCCCAGAACCAGCATGGATGCTAGGAACTCATCCCTTTCGGCTTGGCACAACAGCAGGGCTGGGCCTGTATTTTTCCATTATCATATGTTTAACCTGAAGACAAAGGACTTGTTTGGGTGGAAAGAGTTCCTTAAAGCTTCCCCTGCAAAATATTTGTCCCACCCTTTCTTTCCCTTCAAGGGTCTTTTCACTGCCATCTCCCTGGAACGGCTGCCCGTTTGGCACAGGTTCTCCCCCCGCCCACCATTCAAGCGATTGCTTCTTGCTTCTCAGTGGTCCCAGCCAATTAGGGACCACGCGGTAAATGGGGCACTCTCCCGTTACGTAGTCAATCGGATTTGGCGACATGGCAATGTTGGCGAGCACAGCACTTCCAAAGCGAGCCCAGCCAATCAGGGATCACCTGGCAAATGGGGAGGCATCATGCCGCTACGCAACCAAACTACTTTGGCTCTGTAACGAAGCAGCAGGGAGCAAACAAACTCAACCGAGAGAGGTACTAAGAGGGCAACGTAAACGAACAGGTGGACATTTTTTGCGGGCACTGCCAAACACCTGTCAAAAGAGGGGGTTGCTCTTTGACGTTCCTTTCGGCTCTGTGCTGACGGATTAAGTCATCAAATCTGCCACGCTGCACAGACATGAGAAGGGACGTGACCATCTCAGCCTTTCAAGACAACACTGGGTTGTGAGCCAGGCACATCGTGGGCACCACACCGCCCCCCCCCACCCCCAGTGACAAAATACCTTGCCCGGGTTAGGAAAAGTTGAAGTTTGCAGAGAAAAACCTACCAACGCTTGCCGTGGGAGTCATGCACAACACAGACCCTGCACACCATGCAGTGAAGCGTGGAAAGATGAACAGAAGGGACATTTCATTAGTGAAGCAGTTAACGTGTTAACAGATACAAAATCTCTTTTAATTAAAAGGAGAGGGAGTAGCTCTCTCGCTGCTGCGACAGCGTCTGCTGCAAGGCCACATGCAAAACGCGGATTCGGCCTCCTTGGATCGGCCTTGATAGTTCAGCTGATGATCAGGGCATCTTGGCATAAATCATGGATTCTTTGCAGCAAGCTTTGCCCGAAAGGGACTGGGACTCGCAGGCCCCTCTCCTAGCAAGTCAGCTCAAATGCATCATTTGGGTGGCTTCTACACACACCCCTGTTTCGCAAACTCCTGCTGTGGCCCCACACTCCACAGGGCTGTGTCTTGCACACAAAGCACCCTGCAGTGCTTCCAACTGGGCAGCCAGGTTCAAACCAGGCGAGCGTGGAGCATGAGTCAGCGGGATGCCTGAACCCACTCCCTGGGAAGGGTTTTCTCATGGCTGTGGAAACGTTTCCTGCCTCCCATGGGACGGTCATCCTGTGCACAGCCTTGGCAGTGCCACGGGGTTGTGCAAGAGTTTTCTTCAAGCTGATGGACTCAGCCCAGGGCCGCTGCTCCAAAGGACACCGCTGAGCTTTAGCAGTGGCATTTCACTTTTAGGAAGGGGTCATCTCCGTGCAAAAACTGAGAAACCACCAAATAATTAGTGGTCAGGGACCCCGGGGGGCCAGAAAGGGCACGCCGGGCACCCTGGGGTTCCTCATTCATTTTAAGGAGAGGCCATAGCAGCCCAGGCAAAATCTCCAGGTTGGGGTTGCGAAACACCTGCTGGAAATCCTGGAGTGACTTCATGGGCAGTCCGTATCAGCAAACTGGGCCAGAAACACCACAGACTGGCTTGATCTAAGGCAAGCTGCCTACCTTCCCGAAATCCTCAGCCCCACTCAAGGTGCCCTGTGTGCTCTGGATGTTTTCCACACAGAATAAAAAGGTTATGACCCATGTCTGGGCACAAGCCAGGCCTAAACATTAGACTAATGGCCTGTATCCACCAGACATAAAAGCATTTTAATTTTTATTTGGAAAAGGAGCCAGCTCCCAGGCCATGAGAATGGCCAGTATGGGCAAGTTTGGAGAAGCAGGTTGTTAAGAATTTGTAGGGGCTACAATCTTTTGTGAATGGCTCTGCATGTCCTTTCCACGGGCTTAGGAATACTCAAATCTGAGCTTGGCTTGTGGCCAAATTAAAAGCTTATGCGAGCACACCCCATTAGCTAGCAAAGAATCCAGGAATCGGTTTGTGATTAATTTAGCGGAACACCAAAGAGAGACAAAGAGGTGAGAACTGGAGAAAAGATGCAAGAGCGGGATTTCCATGTGCCTTTTCTTAATAGATCCTGCGCAGGAAATGTTGCAAGGCAAACACTTTGGCTTCTATCCAGCAAAGGGGCAAAATCAGCAAAGGAGGAAAAAGAAAAACCCAACCAGGAGAAAGCACCTTCTCAAGTTTAACCGAAGCATGTCCCCCCAAAGTCTACCAGCAGGGGCTTCCTAAAGGCAGCACACTCGGGCTTTAGGGTTACTTTGAGCGACGTACTCAAAAACAGCAGTAGGCCTTCCGTGAGCGTAGTCAAGCCAGTGAGCGCTCTGCACGCGCACCAGGGATGTATGGAACTGACAGAGCAGCAGTCTCGTCCTGGGAGTATCTCCAGCAGCATCTCACCGCATGATCTATAACCGTGAATGTAGCTGCTCATCCCCAGGAGCCTGCCTGGGGCCCCAACCTGTCTCTCTGGGATTTTCTGGAAGGTCCCTGGCCCTACCTGTTTCCCCCACTGACCACCAACGCCTGGACGCCTTCCTGTCTATTTCCCCGCATTCTGGAAAGTTCAAATGCCTCTCTTATGGATTAGTGACTTGCAGTTAAGGGCTTCAAGCTAAAGCATGCGGGTATTTTGGTCTCGCCCCCTGGCCCCGCCTTTGCTGTACCACTGGGATGCAGCGATTTGGAGCTTCTCCGAAAGAACTCAGCCCGTGGGCTGAAAGCGATGCAACCCCCGCACCCTAAATACAGCCCAGCGCTACTTCTGGATGCAACTGCAGTGCTGCTGCTCTGAGTCATACGCAAGAAAGCAAAGCCCACGGGTTGTGCACAGGCCACAGCGCTCCGAAGGAGGCCTACCCTGCCCAACCTCGAGCTGCGCAAGTCCCCCCAAAATTCCCAAGGGTCCTTGCAAGGTAACGGCAGGGAGGTGAGTTGCGCACCATCCCGTTCCTTGGGGAGTGCACCGTCCACCCCCCTCCTGGACGCAGTGCCTGGAGCCCCAGGGAAGGCCCCGATTCATGCACCTGTGCGAACCAGCCAACTGAGGGCGATGCCAGGGCAGCGAGTCATGCCAGCTCGGCCCACTCTGGAGAAGGCAGCTGGCCGCGCGGGAAATTCGCCAAGCCCAAGAGCAGACCGGGGGGAAGGAGGGGCTGGGAGGGGGGGCGTCTCATGCCAGCGACCATCCCTCTGACCACTGCGCGCGCTCCCCCATGGCGCGGAAGGGACAAGCCCAAGGCGACGTACCTGTTGGGATAAACGTAGGCTGCGGCAGCTGCATGTTTGCGAGGGCCTGTTGGTAGTGGAAAACACTTGGGTTAAAGACTGTTGTGGCAGGACTGTTTTTTTCAAGTGCGGGCCTCTTTGGTAAAGGTTGAAGGGCACCAGGCGGCAGAGACTGCAGAAGGAAGGAGTGGGAGCGGGGCGGGGCGGGGCGGGGGGAGCAGAAGGGGTGGAGAGGGGAGACAAGAGAACCAGCTTAGACACAGCTCTGCACAAGCGGACGGGCCGCACGGTCTGCAAATCACCTGCAACTGGGCCGACTCGGGGGTGAGCTGGGCGGGGGGCAGAACGGCGTTCCAGCGGGGGGATCCGCAGCTTCGCGGGAGACGCGGTTGTGCAGATGGAGGGGCAGCCTTGTGCCAATGGAAACAAGCGAGCGAATGTATGGAGGGGTCAATCAAAGAAGCAGGACATGTGCTCCCAAGGGCCCTGCCTCTGCTGCAAACTCAAACCAGATTTCGGGAGAAGCATGGGAAAGAAACCAGGCTCCTCCAGTGAAAGGGATTCTCAGCACCCTGTCCCCCCAAAGTTCTGTACCTGCCAGGGCTCTTGGAGAACTGCTCTGGCGGGCAACCCAGGTTCAAATGGGTTTACGTTTGTAGCGCAGGAGTGCCCAAGGGCGCAATATCTTAATTTGTCTGATTTTTAAAAGAAAATGGGGAGGGGAAAAAGACCCAGGAATAATTTTCATTTCATCAGGGGACACTGAGAAGGCAGTTGCAGGCAACACGCATTAAAAAATTAAAACAAACACAATAAGGTTACCAGCTAAGTAAGGATGGAAGGAAGGAAAGTGACTACTGAAATGAGAAGATCAACATAAGCAAAAAGTGTCCGCCAAAAGGTTAATGATGCCAGTGCAGGCTAAATCCACACGGGGGGTCGTTGGCCCACCTCCTATGCCAGTGACTTTGTTCTCGGGGCCGAGACTGTGGGGATGCCCCCGTATCTCACTCACACAAATGTGGCCAAGTTGCTGCACAGGCACACAACTGTGCTTCCCATATGTGCACATGGTTGAATAAACCGTAACTGTTCTAGCACTGACTGCTTTTACATTTTAAAGACTGATCTGGCTTGCCCATGATGGTAACCCGTGCTTCGTTTAACCCATGGCTACTTGAATTCTGGTGATCCCAGCTGGGCCAACAAACCAGCAATGAACGACCCAGAACGAGAGCTCATGGTTTGTTGTTGGGCTGTAGACTCTGGGTTGCTTCAAACCATGGGTTGTCCTTATGTGTGAACACAGAATTGAGGGCTGTTTCGCCCAGCTATGTACAGAAGAGTGGTGAAGACAAACATAACCCACCAACTCCTCCCAGCTGCTCTACATGTGAGTATTACTGCAGTACCACGAAGGTATTTGGGACAGAGAAAAGCAGCAGAGAAGAGAGAAAGGAAACAAACAAACCAGGGGTTGAGAAAACAAACTGTGATCATCTGCCAGACAAACCTTAGTAAGGAAACCAACCATAGATCAAATAAGTCATGGGTTACCATTACATGGGAACCAGGTGTGTATCTGTGGAAACACAGTACACAGAATCCGTGGGTCATTGTCAACAGTGATGGCAAGAGCCATGCTGTTCACATGGGGTACACGGTTTCAACAGGATAGGAAAGATACCCCAAGCCGGCCCTGATAGAGAGTCAGTCTCTCCTTCCTGCCACATCTGGTGCAGCCTCATAGGTACTCCAGAGCTGTGATTGATTTTGCGACTGTATTCATACAAGGAACAAAATGTCCTCGGTATGAGCATAAGAAGAGGGTTGCTGGCTTTGGGCTGGGATTATGGAAGCAGATGTGGGCACACAGTTCAGCTAGAAAGGGAAAGAAAAGATTTAGCAAAGTTTGTGATGTCAAACAAACTTTTGACATGCCTAAGCCAAGTGCATCATGAGCCTGTCCTGGAGACAGGCCAGGCCCAAATTTATTTATTTGATTTCTAGCCCAGATTTCTGCAAAGGGCAAGGGTAAGTCGAGGCAGTTAATTATCAGTAGACGAGCAAATATGGACAGAGAGTTCAAACTGTGGCTTAAGTTGCCCAGACTTACGACATACTTTAGCTTTGGAGAGAAGCGACCAAAGGTTCGTGCAGGAACAAAACAAGCCAGTCCACAGCAAGCAACACAGATAACTGTTAATTAGTCAAAATGAAGCATATGCTCTTCTTCAACTGGTTTTTCTCCCTTTTCTGCACTCACGTTTTCAATGCAAACGTTGTGCAATAGAAAGGGTCTAAGCCTTTTTGACTGAACTGGGTGGGAGTGGCTGGGTTCTGTGCCCCATGGCTAGTTTCGCCCCTTCCATCTCCTAGAACCGTGCGCATGTGTGCATGCGCATGCGTGTGCCCTCATAACGCTCTGACATTTCCCCAAAGAGTGCATTTGTTTCTTTGGCTTCCCACTGGCTGGGCCATCTGTGTTTGTTTGCTTTTTTGCGAGTGAATCTTCTCTTTTCGACCTGTCACATCACAACTTTTGAGTCAGTCAAACCTGTTTCGCCATCAGACTCCGAGGTGGGGGAACCCTTGCAGGCCAAGGTGCGGGAAGCCATCTTGCCTGCCCCTCCCCACTTGGAGAACATGTCTCGACAGCCGTGCTGTATCTTGAGGTCTCAAGGGACCGTCAGAGGTTTTCCAGATGTGTCGGGAACAGTATGTCCCCCCCACCCAAACTTTCAGTTCGACCTCAAAATCTCCAGGGCTCCAGACAGAGGAGCAGAGCAGGTTCCAGAGATTCAGAGGCAAGCAACCTGTGGTCTCTTGAGCATCGCGATGGAGCCGCTCTATCGCCAACTGGGCGATTTCGCCACCTCCCCGGGCTCTGTTCTCCTTCCCTCCAGCACAGCAAAGGAGGCTCGTGCAAAAAGCACTCTTTGGCAGATCAGGCAGGATGAAGCCACGGGCAAAGGAAACCAAAGGCCAAGATGTCGCCAGTGTGCAGGGGGAGCGGAAACCTCGGGCAGGTTCTGCAGAAACAGGTTTCACTGGCACTCCATGGGCCGTGGGAGACTGCCCATCAGAGAGAACGGATGCCTGCCCCACACTGCTCGGCACCATGCCAGCCCGCTCGGGTGGGGCTGGCGAGAACCAGCTGATCCAGCGGACTGGGTGAAGGTGCTCTCCGCACGCTCCATGGATTCAGGCGGATGCAGCATGGAGAAGCGTGGCGGCCTGGAGAAGCCATCAGGCCTGGCAGACCGGGCTTGGCAGCACCGGGGCTGCAGAACCCGCAAGTTCGTCAGCTGACCTCCCAAGGGCCAATCCGCTCTTGCTGGGCCCTCCCTGTGGGGCTCAGCGAGAGCAACTCGTCTCTGCTGGGAAGATGCCACCTAAGCCAGAGTGGAAGCCGCTGGTGCTCCAAACGGGGCTCCAACCTCCGTCTGCTTTGGCCAGCTGGGAGCAGCAGCCGCTTGCCTGTCCTGGAGGGCTGCTGGAGCCCACCCTCGGCAAGGCACGTACTCTTTCCTTGACTCTTGGTCCATGGCTGCTGTGGGCCAGCCAGCTCTTTCTGGACCATCTGGGGAGACACCCAGTGCTTCTCTGGGGGTCCCACAGACCTGACTTGCAATCTGCCTCCAACAGCAACGGCCTTTTCTTTCCTGCTTTGTAGCAGGCACAGCTCCGCACCCCAGGCGGGACCTAGTGTGGGAGCAGACAGGTTACAACCCAGAGCAGCCTTTGCACCCTACTCTAGGCTGAAAAGTGGGGGGAAAGATACTGCTGCTAGATACAGATTTAAAGTAAAGCTTATCCTAGAGACAGGCCGGCAAACACCCACGGCTCCCTGGGAGGGGAAAGCATCACCTTCCCGTGAGCAAGCTGATCGGCGGCTCGTTCGCAAAGCTGGGCCAAACACCTTGCCAATGATTTCTGCAGCCGCTTTAAAAACAATTCTTTTAAAGGGCTTTGCCATTCGGTTCCTTGAAAGAACAATTAAAAGAAGGTGGGCTACAGATGCAAAGGGGTAACAACAAGGACTCAATTTTCTTACAGGGACGCCCCGAGAACTTTGGTTATAGAACCAAAAGTTCATCAATGGAATGGAATGGAATGCAATGGAATGGATGGAGGATGGAATGCTCCCTCTTGCGCCAAGGCCGATGGCACACCGACATGCGTCAGGCTGGGCTGGCCGCCACGTGGGGGCCCAACGTGGCTGCCTTTTTCTACAAGTTGGTTCTTTGCAGTTATGAGAATGGAGGTGGCTGAAGGCAGGACGCCCGGTTATTCCTTCCCCAAAGGGAAGTGGGGCACGACTTGCCCTAAGCGATGCGGGGGCTGCGCTAAATCTGGGGAGAGAAGATGGGCAACGCAGGCATGCAGAATGGCGTGCTGCTGGCCCCCCTCCCGCTTGTTTTGCACGGAGCCGGGGTGCAGACACGGCCTTGCACTGGGCCCACGGCACCGGCCCAAACGCAAGAACGGCCGTGCCGGCTCAGGCGGGGCCCCGCAGTCCAGCACCAAGCCCAAGGGGCCTGCTTCCCTCCCACCGCCTGGCAACCTTGCAAACACACGGCTTGAACCCCCCCGAGGACTAGGGCAGCTTCCCCCAAGCTGGTGCCCCTCCAGTTGTGCTGAATTCCAATCTCCCTAGTTCCTGTTTTTTGTCTGTGCTGGCTGGGGCTGATGGGAACTGTAGTCTTAAATCTACAGAGGGTAAATTTCCGGCACAGAGCTGCAAGAACCCAAAGAGGCTTTTCTCCAGGTCGCGGGCAAGAGCCCCTGCAAGGCTGGGGTGAAATGGCAAGCGGGCCTGAACTGCATCGGGCGGGGATGCAGTTCGTGCAGGCAAGGGGGGTGCGCTCCCTCGGGGCCCCGCACACCGTTTCCAGGGAGAGCAGGTCTTGGTGGTAAGCGCTGACGGGCCAGCAGCTGTGCTCCTCCTGGCCTGCCACTCCCAGCCTGCCCGATCCAGCTTGGGGCTGACGGCAAAGAAGCCTCAGCACCTCACCCTGCTTGCTCAGCGCCTACGAGCCCTGCTGGATCAGGCCCGGGTCCACCTGGCCCAGCCTCCTGTGCCAGCCAGCTGGCCCTAACCCGTAACAGGAGCGAGTGCGGCAGCACCCCCGACCTATGTACCGCAGCCACCAGTGCAAACAACACCCTCCAACCCATGCTCCCTGGGCACACTGCCTCGGGGCCCAGAGGAAGCCTCAAGCCCTCTGGACTGGTGTCCATCAGCTGCCACACCGATTCACGTGTGAGAATTGCACACACACTTTCCTGACAGTCACAGAAAAGGCTCCCCAGGCTGCAGGCTGCACTGGAGGCCGCGAGTGCAGGGCCGTGGGGGGCCCAGGCCTCGGGTCCAGCTCTGGCAGGGCTGCTCTGGAAAGGGGACTCCGTGCCCAGCCTTTCTCCATCTCCACCCACCCCTTTTTTGACATTTATTTTTGCAGACCGTGCGTTTATGTTTAGGCACACTGAAGGGGTTCTGGCCTGCCAAAGCCAGAAGTCTCCGCATGTCTGAGTGCGCATGCAAGCAGCAAGGGGCCCACAGGTGTGGTCCACGCACGGCCTCCACGCCCTCAGAACGTGCCGAGGTTTCCTACGGGTGTGAATTTCACCCCGCTAGGCTTCTCCGTTGGGGGAAAATGTACTGCTTGGAAGCAGCCCGACGGATGGTTCCATTTGCTCCAAAGCTGCATCTCGCCCTTTTGGGAGGCGGTGCCGGGAGAGCACCGGGTGCTGCTTATCAGAAAGTTTTCAGTTAAATGGGAAATAGGCATCCTTTTCTCTGCAGGGTGTGAGAAGGAATGGAGTGAACTGCAGTGCTGGGATGAAGGGGGAATTTCCTGTCGGATGGGCAGTCTCCATAGGGAATGCACAGAACGGACCTGATGACAAAATCTCTCGCGCTCTCCCCCCCCCGTCCACATCCATGCAATCGAAAGATGGTTACATGCAAAGCAAGAAGGCAAGAAGGTCCAAGTACCAGGTCAAAGGTTGCCTCGAGGGGTCGCTTCAGTGGCTGAGTCTTAATTAGCAGGCAGCAGGCACGTGATGGTAATGAGCCAAGGAAGGGGGTTCAAGCACAACAGAAAAGAGCAAGCAGAAGTGCGTCAAAAGGGAGAGTGACGTTGTGGAGGAGGTGAAGAGAAAAAAAATGAATGCATTACACAATATATTAAGAACAGAGGAGGCATGCACGGCGCAGGGGCCCAAGACCATTCGCTGGGCAAACACTTGGCTCTGTTGCTTCATTTCGGCAGAAGCACCACTCTGGCCTGGGCAGAGGCAGAGCACTCTGCAACTAGTACTGTGCAACATGGCTGTTTTGCACAAGCACCGAGAGCGGGGCAGGAATTCCGGGGGATTTCTGAAAATGGGATCATAATCTGGAGCATTGCAAAGCTTGCAGCAGAGTTGCGTGTTTCCCTTTTGGTTTCCGTAAAACACACACCTGTGTTTCTAGTCCTCAGGAGTGTGGGCAGAGTGTGTCCATGCTCTTCCAACCCCCACCTTCCTAATGCCACCCTCCACAAGCCCCCTCAAAATTATTTCAAACACGAAAGCCAGGGAAACAAAACTGCACAGAAGAGAGCGTGTTTACAGGACCTGTGCAATCGCTCTTGGATAGCAGAATCCGGGTTTCGGAGTCACGGGATCTGCACTACCCTGAATTCAGCACTGTCCTCTATACTGACAGGAGAGTCTAAAACAGTGTGCTAACATGGGATTACTCATGAGTAAGTCCCACTGCTTTCCAGGAGAATACCAGGGATAGTTGTGGAACATTTTGGAAGCACTGGGAGCTGCCTTCACTTGCAACAGGTCCACTGCGCTCAGGACTGCCAACACAGGCTGCCAGCAACGGCTTCCCCAGCTTTCGGGCAGTAACGTTTCCTGCCATCTGTGGAGATGCAGGCAAATGAAGCAACTGAGAATTCCTGAGAATGCAAGGCCCCTTGCTGGTCTTTTATTTTATTTTCAAGTGTGTGGGGGGGTTCTCCTTTGGTAGAGCCCCTCCTGGGGAGAATTGCTTGCCAAAGATGCTCTGTGCTGGCATACCTGGTACCCTCCAGATGTTTGGGACTACAGCTCCCAGAATTCCTGGCCATAAGCTTGTCACTGGCTTTAACGGAACATATGTTCTGAGCAATGCGGGAAGGCGATGAGTGCAGAGTATGGAAGTGGGAGGATCTGGCCTTCCTTCCCAAATAGCAGCCCCCCCCCCAACGTGGAAACGCTTTCACCTAGCAACCAGGTCTGCCTGTTGAAAAATGCAGGAAAAAATGCCAAGCTTTGAAAAACATGTTCAAATTTTTTCATGCAAAGTGGCATTTAGGGGGCTCTGACGAAGCTGAATTTTGCTTGTACACAAATGCTTTGCCACAACTGGCTAATCCACAGGTGCGTGCACAAGCAGACGGAGTCTTGTATTTTGGGGGAAGGCTTGTACCACCTGCAGACTTACGCCCGAGCCTGCCCCCAAATTCAATTGCTGCGTTCTAAGGATGATGTCTCGCCAAAGCAAGCAAGCAAACAACTTACACACAGCGCGAGACTATTTGGGTGGCAAAGCCTTGGTGAAAAGCAATCCATAGATATTTTAAGCAGGTTGCTTATAATGCCAGTTAAGTTTCTGCCCAAAAGAGGCAGCATGAATTAAAGATGTACTAAGGCCAGAATGTCGCAGTTAAAATGTCAAGTTTTAGGTCTGATTAACCAAGAGGTTGTGAGCTGGCTCTCTGAAAAGTTTGTTCTGGGTAAAAGTGGTTAGATTTGAGTGCAGGTCATCAAAGAATGACTCTTCTAAGGACAAGCAGCACCCCGATGACGGCCGAATCCTTGCAGCTAACACACGTGGCGCCGTTGGGAGCAGTGCTGCGTTCAAGGCTTCCCAAGAGCTCCGTGGAGGGGAGGCAACCGGCCAAGGGCAGGACCCGCATCCATGCCTGCTTCCCCTCCTCACGCTCTCGGCCACCAGCATTGTCGGTCTGGGACAGCTGCTCCTTTTGGCACGGGTGGATGGGCAGGGCAGTTGCTTGCGCACTCCGTGAGCCTTGAAGCAAAAGGTTTCACGGCACGGCTCAGCGGTTCCTGGGGGCCCCTTGGCTGAATGCTCCCCAAGGGGACCAGCTCTGCTTCTAGTTCCCGGGGGAAGCGTTGCTCTGAGTGGCAATGGAAGGGGCTTCTCTCTGGCTCAGGGGGCAATTCTAGGCATCTCCGGACATGCTGGTTGCAACATGGCTGAGTGGATAGACTTTCTCCTGCCTAAGCCTGCGTAGGCCTGCACTTTTACGCCATAAACGTGACTTTATGAACGAAAAGGGGATTTTTCAAGGGGAACTGCGCCGAGGGAGGGAAACGTTAATTCCCACACGCTGCCATGCAGCTCCCTCCGAACACCTGCTGCGCGGCTGTTGGGGAAAACAACTGGGGAGGAGCTGCCAAGCTGCTCTGATCTGGCATGGCCCACACTCACTGAAGACGATCCCGACCAGAACTGAGCTTCCTGGCTCTGCCTTCTATGCTATGTAAAGAAATCAAAGAAAGGCTTTCTAAATTTGCACATACAAGTGAGCACTTGGATGTTTCACGCAGATTTCTACTCTACGGACCTGGGACTCAGATCTTCTAAGTGCCTCGCACTGCTCCTGGCGGTAGCAAAGAGCCGGCAGAGCGCCCCGCTCTCCTCCGGCCAGGGGCACAAAGGAGGTGAGGAGCAGCACATGCTGCGAGGCACGGAGGTTGCAGGGGTGCCCCTTGCCTTCTGGAACAGATCCTGCATCCCCCAAGCAGCAAGCATCTGCTGGAGTTTAAGCTTGTGCTTGAATTTATCCTCACTGGTCTGCCACTGAGGACCCTCTCTCTTTTGCAAAAGCACTTTATTGACTATGCTTTGAAGGGATTAACCTCCTCTGAACTGCTCACGCCCCACCCACAAAACAGATAAAAGCCACGTTTGGCCCAATACCTTCATCAGCAGCAGGAAAAATAACCCCCAAGAGCAAGCAAGCTGTGTGAGTGCTCAGGAACTGTCCTTTTCTTTTTTTTAAAGCCATTTTTAAAAGAGGAAATCTGGTGGAAGGCAGAGAAAAAGGTGGCCAGGATGAACCCCACCGCAAAGTCTACAATTGGTAACTGGTTTAATAGGGAGGGGGCGGTGGATGGGGACAAAGGGCTTAATCCTACGCATATTTAAACAGGAAAAACATCCTGCAACTACCAAAGTCCATGCTGCCTGGAAAATGCTGGAAGCGCTCTCTCTCTCTCTCTCTCTCTGAATACACACAGGATTGTGCCCTTGGTTAGCCGAGACTGTCCTAGGTGCAAACAAGATTTCGGGTTGCGCTGAGGAGTGCTCCTATCATTACTGGACTAGCAGTGCTGTGCCTTTCCTTGACAGAATTTCTGCTGTAAGCAAAACACAGAGGGAGTGGTGGGAAAGCCCCGAAGGATTACAGGGGGAAGAGGATGCCGTCTGGACATTCTGCAAAATTCCACAGAGGAGGCAGGAGGATGGCCCCAGAAAAACGACTTCTGGAATCACCCAGAAGAGCAACAACCGTTGATCTTGGGTACCCCCAAAAACTTCAGGACTGCTTTCTGAGCAATATGGCGCAGGGCTGGCGTGTGTGAAGGCACGGCTCACCCTGAGCCTGGAAGTCTCGAGGTGGCCTTTCCCTCCTCCGCTGGTTGCAGGCCAAAGCACCTGGAGGGCAGCAGGCTGGGCAGGGCTGCTCTGGGGTTCTGCAAACGGCTGGGGCAGCGTCCCGAGCGCGCCCCTTCCACCCTTCCTTCGCAGGAAGGCCCACGCACGGCCTGGCAGCCCCCTCGCCGCAGGCTGTTCTCTTACCATGGCCGATGCAGCACTTTGAGTCACCTGGTGTTGAGCTGCCTTGATTTTGGCTTGCAGGTGCGCAGGTGGATGGAAGTACTTGCATTTCTCCCTGGAACACCGGCCTTTGATGTAATCCATGCAAACGGTGACCGTGTTCTCGTTCGTGTCGATCATGCCAATATCAATCGGGTGAGCGTAACGGCAGTCGTTCTCGCCGCGCGTGCAGTTTCCGCGCTGGAACTCCCGGCAAACCTTCAAAGAAAGCCAGTGTTCAAACAGGAGAATTCAGTGAACCGACCGCTTGCCTTTCGCCCCCACTGCCAATGCAAAGCGGCCAGGAAAAGATGGGGGATGGCAAGACCCAGCCCTCCGACCCATACGAGGCTCAGCTGATCTCAGGGTGGGAGCCGGTGTGATAAGAAATTCCGACTACGACTTGGGAGAGCCAGGCTGCGAGAGGCCAGGGCTTCGGGCCAGTCCTAGATTCTCAGCTAACCTACCGCACAGTCACTGGGAGGATAAAGTGGAGAAAAGGAGAACTTGTGAGCTTCCTTGGGTTTCTTGCAAGAGAAAGGAAGTCTGAATAAAAATGTAGTAATAATTTAAAAAATACATGCTCCATTCCAGATCCTATTAATTTATTTAAATAGAAGTGGACCCAAGCTTTTGCACCTTCTTTGGATCCAGGATCCTTTCCCTTGAGGCAGCCTTAAAATAAATACTGCAGCAGTCCCATCCAGACAGATGGGATTTCTTAGCGGGTGTTGATCCAAAAGCTCATTACATTTTATTTATTCCTCTTTGAAAATCATGTCTCCTGCCTATTTTCCTGAAAGGGAATCCAAGGTGGGGAAGCGACACAGCAATATTTAGAAACAAACTCATAAACCTAAGTTTTTAAAAATTAGCACAAACCATTTAAAAAGATGCGGTTAAACATTAAATATTTAAGTGTTTTCAAAATGTATGCCAAGATACTGCACTTTGCTGAAAAAAGAAAACTGTTTCCATCTCCTGCCTAGAATAGTTTGCATATTGCTAAATTCCAATTTAGCTTTAACATATAGTTTGCATACATTGATTCAAAACTTTTCAGTCCTAGTATACGTTAAAAAGAGAGGAAAACGAGAAGTCAGGTCTGGTGTTCCAAGTTACATTCAGAAGCTTGCAAAATTCCAGTGGGATTTAAGCCGGTCAGACCCTTGCTAGAGGGCCTGGAAATTGAGAAGCGTTGGATTTCAGAGGCAAATGGGAGAAAATCGGTGTATTTGTTGACAGGAGGAGTTGCCCTTACTGAGGGGTGGGCAACTCAGCGAGGAACAGTGGGTATTGTTGAATTTCCTTGACAGGTCACCCTCCTGATGGGTGCCAGAAAAGAAATAAAAGCTATTTAAGAATGACATACATGGTGGCAATGGCCTACATGGGGGTAACGTTAATTTTGACTCGTTTGGCTACTCCATAGCAGCTGCAGAGCAACAAAAGGGTCCAAACTGGGTAGCTATGGAGCACCAAAGAGGTCAAAGTTAGCTTGCAAGCAATTCGGGGCCATCTGTTGCCCACCCCAGCCTTAGGCTGTGTTTTAAAGCTCCTTCCAACCACCCAAACCAAGATGGTGGCAGGGACTAATTCTGCTTCTCTTTCCTGTGGAATGCTAACTGCCGAAATGGTAGCACAAGTATTGCTTTAGGCACACGGAATTACACATGTTCTGCTCGAGCCCATCAGGAACCTGAGAGGGAGAGCAGGGAAGTTTGGCTGGAAGAAAAAGCCAGCAGGGATCGCCTGCCCATGTAAGCAAAGCTTGCTGACTCTAAACGGGAGCAAGGAGTCAACACCCTCTTACTGTCAGGCTTCCCTGGTTTTGCAAACAAGCCTAGGGATCTGGGGTCAGGTAGAAGCCGCTCCTCAGTATTAGCATCGCTTGCTAATCAGCATCAACAGCTTTTCCAAGCGAACCTGTGACCCTGGACTGTACGATTCACAATCAAAGCCTTGATCCTAAGAAAAGGATGGAGACACTGCCACAATGTTAAACAAACGTTGATGGTGAACTTATAAAAAGGAGAGCACTCACTCCAAGATCAGCAAAATCAGTCTTCCAAGCTTCCTGGTCTTTCAATGAAGGGGGCCAAATGGGACCCCCTCTTTACTGTTCACATAGACCAATACAGTGGAGGGTTGGAACCAGCCCAGGGCATCTTACGGCTAATGGGATGGAATGAAAATCTAATAAAAAATGAAGCACCGTGAATTGGTTCTATGTTCTAATAAAGAGAGGGGCTCAGAGTCCTGCCCTCATTCCCCCCACCTTCAGCTCCCCAGCAGTTTTCTGCCTGCAAGCAGCCTCGGCCATGTGCTCCCCCGCCCCATTCCACTGAGGACAGTGTGCGCCACTCTGCAAAACAGTGGAAATACCTCCAGTTTATCCGTCCTCATCAGTTTCTGCCCTGCAGAGCCTCCTGGTACGGACACAGCTGGGTTCCCAGACATCAGGACAGGTGCATTTGGTAAAAGCTCTGCAGGGACCAAACCCATCCCGGGAGACACGTGACTTAGGTAAGGGCTGAACGCCATGGTGGGGCTCGTTGCAAGCGAAGGAGTCACCGCAAAGGTCGTCTGTTGGGGCAAGCGGGAGAGAAAGGACACCGGAGTTAACGTGGCACCCAGCCGGGGCTCTGGCCGGCCCTTCAGCCCCAACTCTGGAAGGACTGATTCAGCCCCACCAGCTGGGATGCGAGTTCCCCGTTCCAGTCTACTGATTTTCTGTCACTTGCTTGCAATTATCTCCACCCTCTTCATTGATTCGGCAGCGAGCGGCTCATTTCAAGCGTGTGGACCTCGTCATTGGTATGGACAAACAGCAGCCACGGTCATTAGCGGCTTAATGGCACAATTAAGGAGGCACCTTTGGGCAATTAATGCAGCCTGCCGCCATTAGCCGGAAATGGAAGGAACGGGTGGATTCTGGACATGAGCTGCACTGGGGGACTCAGGCAAAGAACTCTCACCCTCACGTCTTACAACCGTTCCAGTACCAAGCAGAGCAAAACTTCCATTTTATCACAACGCATGAAGCAGAATTTGGGGAATTAGATAGTAGACCGGGAGTCAAATGTCAACACAATCTGCACTGGCTGCCCATTGAAGTCTGGGCCCTATTAAAGGTGCCGCTGATGACCTAGAAGGCCCTGGATGGCTTGGGTCCTGGGTACCCGAAGAAGCGCCTCCTTCCCTCTGTGCCCGCCCGCCCCTTGAGACCTGAGGCAGAGGCCCTTCTCCGGGAGCCCTCTTTGGAGGGTAGTTACCTGAAGAAGGGCCTTTTCAGCAGTGGCACCCTGACTGTGGAAAACACTCCCCAGAGAGGTTAGCCTGGCGCCGTTGCTTTATTCTTTTCGGCATCGGGGAATACCCTTTTATTCTCCCAATATTGTAACAGTTAATTGGTTTTATCCTTGTTTTTATCCTATCGGATGCAGTGTGCTGTGTGTTGTCGTTGTTATGATTGATTTGTTTTTGGTTTTCTGTTTTTTGTAAGCCGTCCACAGACTTTTAGTATTGGGACGGCATATAAAACTTTTAAACAGCAGCAGCAGCACCTGGTGGATACCAGGTAGGGGAAGCCTGACAAGAAATATTAAAGAGGCAAGAAGGGCTATAAAAATGGAGGCTGAATGAAGTTAAAGAAGCAGCATCCAAGGCTAAGATTCTGGACACCTGGAAGGGACCCGCATTGTTGGTTTTCTCTTCTTCTAAACCAGGGGTGGGTATCCTGTGGCGCAGCAGCAGCTTTGCCCTCCAGCTCCCCGATCCTTAATCACCTGCTCATTATTACGCTTAGGGCTTAATAAGCAAGCAAGGGGCACTGGGCAGCTGACCGGGTCCTTCTCTCCACTGGGTCCTCAGAGCAGCCCTGCAAAGCGGGCTAGGCTGAGATTGGGCGACTGGCTCAAAGGGAAGCTCACGGTCAGGCAGGGACTAGAATCCCGACCGTGCGAGTCCAGTCCAGCGCACTGCGGGGGCTCTGTGGTGCAGCTGATTTGTGCTGATGGGAGCTGTAGGCCAAAACCTCTGGAGGGCCGCAGGGTGCGCTGAGTGAGTGCTCCCATGAGCAGCTCCTCTGCCTCAAACAACCCCGTGCCTTAATCCTGACCTCTTACCTCCTGGCTTCCGAGTTAGCAACACTGAGTTTTCTGGCAAGTAGCGCCACAGCCAATCCGGTGGCCGACCCATGGGAGAACTCACGGGCCAACGCAATGTCGCAGCGCCGGCCAATTCCACCCAAGCTGCATTTGCCTACAGCTGTGTCCACAGCAAAGGAAAAGCCGCAACGGCCATGCAGGGTTCATGGGACTGGGAGAGAAGGATGTGACCAAGCATCCCTCAGAGCATCGGCTTCCAGGCTCCAAGTGCCGCTGAGAACTCGGCTTGGCTCCTCGCCCCACCCAACTGAGGCGCGGATGACTCAGGCAGACCTGAGCGCCGTATGCGGTGCTCTGCTTTGCGAAAGCCAGCACTGTGATCGGCGCCTGCCCTAATTCTGGCAGCACTTCCATTGTTCCATCTATTTTAAGGGCTTGGCTGATTGTGTCCCGGAGGCTCAAACTTTTCAATGGCCACCTGAGCTCCGAGAGGCCTGGCGTGTTAAATCATCACGCCATCCCCGCAGAATGTGTGCGGGAATTTAGTAGGAGGGATTGACTCTGGGGCTGTCACGGATGAGATGGTTTGGGGAACTTTCCTGCACAGGGTTGCCATACATCGCACAATTGTGGCATCTTAAAATTGTGGACAAATTTTCCTGCAGAGGTGTAGCAGTCCCCTTGCCCCTGCCTAGGGATGCAGGAAAAAGTAGGTCTGTGTGCAAAACATGCGTTTGTGTCCTGTTGGAAACTCTGAATGAGCATCTGCTGAAAATATCTGCTAGCGGTCGAACACATGCCTGGGTTCATCTTGTTTCCGATCCCAGTTCAGTTTGGGAAAAGCTCATCCGTGGACCGAATCAGCTCTGCTAGTCGATGGAGAACATGTGCATAAATGAGGGGACACTTCCACAGATCTGCCATTCAGGCTGCTCGAACAGCACACGTTTCTTGTTTGAGCAGCAACTGCAAATGGGTGTGGGAATTCGGCATGAGAGGCAAGACAAAGTTTGGAGGATCCTGGAGATACGGAGCACTGCTCATTCACCCATCCCTGGTGCATCTCAATGGCTTGGAAGAGCCCTCTCCCATGTGGTGCTCTCCAGATGTTTTGGGCTGGACATGCTGGGTGGGAAGGATTGATTTTGCCTTCCAACACATCTTGAGGGGACCAAATCCAGGAAAGACGGCATGGCATGCAGCTGCAGCAGCCTCCTGCTATCACTGTTCGGTGGTACCGGTCTTCAGGTCATGGGAGAGTCTAGTTCGCTCTTGTCGTAATGACCAAATTGCCTTCCATGGATTCGTTGAACCCGCTTTAAAACCACTGCAGATGGCAACTTCCGGTTTAGATTAAAAACTTTCAGCAGGCAAATCTCTTCCAAGCACTCCACAGAAACAAGAAGAGGATGCAACCACAGTGTTATCTCCACCAGCTGGGGAAACCAAGCCGATGAAGCCCTAATCCAGACCTGCCACTGAGATGCAGCCCTGAATTTGAGCCTTAGGCAGAAAGAGAACTTAGAATCATAGAGCTGGAAGGGGCCATGAAGGTCATCAAGTCCAACCTCTTGCTGTTGCAGGACACCAAGTTATACCATCCCACTCAGATGACCATCCAGTTTCACCCTGAATGTCTCCGGTGTGGGAGAGCCACCACCTCTCCAGGCAGCTGGTCCCACTGCTCTGACAGTGAGGAAGCCTTTCCTGATGTCCGGCCTGAATCTGGGCTCAGTCAGGGACTTGTTGCAAGGACAGTTGCTGTGAGCCATGGTTAAATGCACCAAGTCAGCCCAGTCAATCCTGGTTCGACTTTCCAGCCTGCAAGGTTATGAACGACCTCTCCACCTTCCCTCTACACATCTCCTTGAGGAGAGGGATTTATCTTGGTAAGCTGAACCACGTTTCACCGTATTTGTGAGATATTCACCGGCATTAAGGGAGCAAGCCACGGTTAGTGTGGCTCACGACTGAGCACTGTAACTGCACTGGGCTACAGTGTGTACAGGACTTGGAGGCAGAACAGTCCAGGTGGAAGGGGGACAGTCCAGGTGATAAACAAGGGAACATAAATGAACTATGAATTCTGAAACACCATGTGCATAAAAACACAGTGAATGTGATTAATCAGCATCCGTCTTCTCTTAGTAGAAAGCAGTTATTTTTGAAGGACCCACTTACAAACCTGCTGTAACAACATCTTAAAGCAGTGACAACTGAAAGATGGAAACCAATACCCAGCATTATCAGTCGGGTGGGGACTGCAAAATCCTTGCTCTTAATGCAGGCTGCAAGCAAGGCCTAGAAAACCTCCTTGTCCGTCTACCTGCTTGAAGAACCAGTCCTATGGGGCAGACCAGGGTGCCTACAGTCTCTTGCGTATAAACAGTGTTGTAGCTGTTGTTGCTGCTGCGTGCCATCAGGTCGCCTTGGTGAGTGAAAGCCCTTTGGAACGCCCTGTCCATGTCGGTCCCGCTCAGCTTCTCCAAATTCAAGGCTGTGGCTACCGTTCATCCTCCTTTGCTTCCTCTGCCTTCAACTTTCCTTTGCACAAGGCTTCAGCCCCAAATTTTCAACAGGTAAGGCTCATGGTTCAGCATGTCTGACCACTGAATTGTTTAATTCATACCACCCAACCTCCTCCTGCACAACTTTTCCTTTCCTCTGGCTTTTTAGCATGAACTATACCCATGCCAAAGCATGTCTGGTTTGCTTTAGCCAGGCCCCTGGCAATTTCAGCTGCTGCTGCAGACTAACCATGGTTTGTGTTAGTGCCTGGGCACCATGCTGTCTTTAGCACTGACACCACTGAGAGACAAGACACCCCCGGCCACTGGGCTCAGCAAGCCGAGCCGGAAGATTAACTCAGGCACTTACAATTGGCTGTAGCTGTGCTCCCGGTAGCATGAACTGCATCTGCTGTGCAAACATGGCTGCAGCCGTCTTTTGCTGAATTAGGTTGTTGCGTCCGTTGATTTCGAGTTGCGTTTTTAAGTGTGGCGGAGGGTGAAGGTATTTGCAGTTTTCTCGAGTGCACCGGCCCTGGGGAGGAGAACGAAAACAAGGATGAAAACGTTTGGCAAATGGAGTGGGCGCTGATGGCACCAGGACAAGGCAGGTTATTCACACACTGAGATGGAAATGGACCTTGCTCTTCGGTTACGTCGTATACAATACAGGAGTGCAGATCTCTCCGAAAGAGATGCGGGCTGGGTCGCTGGATTAGGCCATCAACACTTGTTTCCCCCTAAACCAACATTTTTATAGTGAGACCACTTCTTTCATACCTTTGTACCTTGTTCTTCACACTCAAGGAAACGCAGAGCTGCAAATGCATTGCCCCACATTTGCTGTGTATTTTAACCTGTCCAGAACCTCGCTTAGGCAGAGAGGGAATGACTAGCCCATGATTACACTGCCATGCAAAGACATGGGCAGCTTTTAACTCAGAAAAACCAGCTGTTCAAGTATGAATACGATGAATGTCCCACCAAGCAGCAGCCTGCAAGCCTGAACTGTGACATGTGGAGAGTCCCGGCCTTGGAACTTAACACCGCCTGACACTGGGTCAGAAAGTGGTCCTTGTAGTCCAGGATCCAAAAATCTGTGCACCACCCCATTTTCTCCTCAGGATATCTGTTGTGCATCACAAGCGGAATCAGAAAGACTGCAGGCGATCTTGTGAATTGCTGAAAACTCCTAGGGATTTTGGCAACCACAAGAGTGCCAGGACTTTAAGGAGAAACAAGGAGAGGCCAGAAATGCAATGGGGAGAGGCCAAGATCTCTCCCTGGAAGGGGTATCGTTCATTTCCAGGCTCCACCACCTGATTTCCACCTCCCTTTTGCTGCAAGCACAGATGTTTTCTTTGGTTCTGCATGCTGCATCTTGCAAAGACGGCCCAGAAGGCTATGAAGCCAGCCCCATCTTTGCAACCCAGCACAGCTCTTACGGGAGAGAATATTTTCAACCTTCCGGAGGCCTGTCTGTGAATCCCTTCTGACTGAGGCACGGACGGGACGTGCCAGGCACGTGCTTGGGTCAATGTGTCTTTTGTACCAAATTTAGAATAAATCTGCTTGGATGTTTTTGCATTTACAGGAAAACGAGCCGAGTGGGGGAGAAGTGTGCCGCCGGCAGTTTCATTACTGAACCAGGATTTTGCTGGGAAACGTGCTGCTTTCCGTGGGCATTTTTGCAGGTGTCCAACCAGCTTGTGGGCCATGCGAGGCTGAAGAGTGGAGCAGGCCGAGGGGGATTTGGGGGCAGGGTCCTGGAATCAGCATCCCAGAGAAAAAGAGATTTCTGAGCCGGAAGCGGCACGCTCGCGGGACGGCATGAATCCATTCAGCCCAGAGAGAAACCCGCCATGCCTTCCTCCGGCGGGCGTCTCTTTCCCGCCAACGTCCTCTCCGTTTCAGCCACCATGATGCACAACTGCTTTGGAGGGCGGTTTCCCTGGAGGCATGAAGACGGCATGCTAAGATTTAGAGAGGTCTCCGGCAGCAAGCAGGGAAGCAACCGTGCCTTCCTGTCCGCCGGAGACCTCAGGAACCTACGGCCGGCCAGAGCGGATGGACGGAGCACTACACAGAAAAGGAATTTCTGCTGCGGCGCTTGGAAAGTACAGCAAGTACGAGTCCAAGGAAATGAGATGCGCTGCCCAAGCTGCCTTTCTGAAAGGGCTCTTGTTACATTTTGATCATACTTGTGGCATTGCGTCAATTTAAAACTGAGCAGCTCAGAGGTACATCATATTCCTGAGACCAAATATGAACAAATTATTCCGCAAGTTCTCTTCTCTCGAAAGCATCGCTCAGCTTGTCTTCTGGGGCACAGTGTGCCCGCCGACACCTCCTGCGCTCAGTGTCGCTGTCCGTGGCTACCCCATGGGAGAAAAGAGCACTTTTCGCATGCCCAAAAACCCTTGTTTCCATTACAGCTTCAGCCATAAGCCATCCAAAGACTTTTAGTAATGGGGTGGCATAGAAAAACTTTAAATAAATAAGTATGCTACAGGGCACCCTGAGGTGCAGCCTCTCCCAACCTGCCCCCTGCCAGATGTGCAACTTTTTGAAGACCCCTTGTATTTTACATAAATACAAATAATAGATATCGTGTTTATATTTGGGGAAGGGAGCCGTTGCAGTGAGGTATAAAAACTGCAGGGGAGCAGAAAGGGCACGTCCTCCAGAAGAACCTTAAGCTGAAGCCCCGCTTCTGGCACAGGGAGGCCTGGCCAATGCCCACCTCCCCAGAAGCACGGAGCGCTCTCTTCCCCATCATCTTCGCTAATTTTATTTTTAGACTTTAGACAGCCAGAGCTCTCCGGGCTGCCTTCCACAATACGCACTTGGCCAATGTAAATCCTCCCGCAGAGCAGGACGCAAGTGGTGTTGTCAGCTGAGAAGCAACGCAGTCGGGCCCTGCTCCAACGGCTGGCGCTTCCAAAGCATCGCGCACGGGAGGAAAAGAGACGCTGCTCCCCACCTCTTCAGTACTCCTCCCCCCCCCCCCGGCGCACACACTCTTTCGTTGCAAAGCTCATAATCCAATTCCACAACTTTCCCTGCTCGACTGACGCTCCCCCAAGGTCATCCGGGGTTGCCGTGCCTCTGACCTTCCTCCACCTCCCTCCGACCGACGTGTCTGCCGAGCGGAGAGCCCTGGAGACAAGGCTGCCACTCGCGGGCAGCGGTGCGGAGCAGCTCTGGGCCCCAGGGAGCAAGCGCTCGAGTGCCGCACACGGGCATGCGCCTTGCCGCTGAGGCGGCAGCACAGGAGGCTGTTCCCGGGGACTCCGGTCCTGCTGCTCATGGGAGACTTTCAGTGGCTCAACTCTTCCCCATTCCTTCCGGGAGGGACAGATCCCTCCGGAACAGCTCAGGGTCCTGAGCTCTGCAGCACGTCTGTGGGGCCAGTGCCCTTTATGTTTTTGAAGCATGCACTGTGCTGTGCCAAGTACATAAGGTCTCTGCCCCAAGGAGCATGCAAGGCAAGGGAGGCACAGGTGAAAAGGGATGGGAAGAATTGCTGGTGGCCAGTGTACTTCTGCTTAGTGAGCCTTACTCCAGAGTAAACATGAACAGGGTTGTTTGAGAGGAGCCACTTTAGGAAGGCTTTGACCTTCAAAGCAACCGAAGCACACCTGAACTAATAAAGCGTCTTTAACGACACCGTTTGATATCCTACGTTACATTGGGTATATTTTCTGTTGCTAAGGCAGCATGCTGGGAGTTGGAGGACTCCCCCCCCCCCACTCATTGAAGGACTAACCTTAAATTTAGGCTTGATGAGAAAGCAAGCACCAAACATTTTTCAATCCCACTCCTCCGCCCTGGCCAGCATCTCTGCCTCCAAGTGGGGATGGGGCTTCAAAATTCCCTGGAGTTTTCACGTCTGCCACCGCCCACACGCTGCCCTTCAGTCTGACCTCTGGCCTGCTCCCCACCATCCTTACAGCCCGGCCTCTGCTGCTAGTCCCTGAGCTTTTTGCTTGTCTGATCCGCTCCCTGACCATCAGCCATGTTCCTGCCTCTCCCCCCCCGGATGCTTGCGGACTGCATCGGAAGCAGAACCTGCAAAGAGCTGGACCTCGGCCCTCACAGCTGCACAGGGTGTGCCCAGGCGCAAAACCCAGCTGTGGGATCGCTCTTGGACTCGTATCCACTGTGGGATCCTCTGGGCGGCCGGTTCACCCTGCGTGAACGGGGCACAGAGGTGGATGGGCCCCTTGGTGGCCCAGCAGGGCTTCTCTTACCCACTTCTGTTTACATTCTCACGAACAAAGGAATTAATGAAGTGCGTAACTGCAGAAAGCCCCTCTGATCCCCTGGACTGCAAATTTCAGTGGCCCTACAAGCAAAACAACCTGCCTTAGGCTGAGTCACACCTAGTTCAGTCCATCCCACCCAATACAGAAACACAGCGAGTCAGAAGGGGTCTCCCGGGCCATCTAGTCTGACCCCCGCCCCAGCCGGCTCCGCTCATGACCAGCAAGGACTGGCAGCAGCAGCTCTCCAAGCCGGAGGTTTTCCTGGAGATGCAAGGACGCAAACATGCAGGCTAATCTACCAGTGAACTATGTTTCCTCCCCTTTGCGAAAAAGGAAGAGGCTAGTCCTCATGGTTGCAAGTCAAGAAAAACAAACCTAGGAGATGCCAGCCAGGGACTGACCCAGGGACCTTCTGCATGCAGTGCAGCTGTTTTACCAGTGGCCGACAGTTCTGCACAAGGCCAAAGTCCTTGCCTGGCCAACACAGCCACTGCGTCAAGACACGGCGAAGCGCACGGCGTGTCCCCGCAGTCGAGCAACAGCCAGTGGGCCACACATTCGACTCCGTGCAGCACGGCTGGCCTTCGGATCCGGGCGAGTGCAACACGCTCCGTTCCCTGCCCATCCAGGACGGTTTGTTTATCACCAGCCAAATGCTGTGTTGTGTTCCCGAAGGAGAGCTTCTAAACAGTTTGTGCCAAAGAAAAGTCACAAATGGCAAGAAATGAGCTTGCAGGTTTATCCTGAATGAATCCAAGGAGGGGTGAGGGGTGCAGAAATTCCAACCAAGCATAGCTGAGAGGCTGGCCAATTCGTGTTTGTGTTGTTGCGTAGTTTAGAAAATCAACAGCCTAATGAACATAAACAATCCCTGGGTTTAAAAATAACAGCCCATCTGAGCTGACAATTTGGTTTCAATCTGGAAAAGCAGCCGGTGCCAGGAAATGCGTTGCACACTCTGAATGCTTCCCCGAGATCACAGAACTGGAGCCGGGAATTTCTCAGCCAAGCGGTTCTCCAGGTTTCCTCTCCTCTTTTGGTGCAGGCTGGCAGCCACTCACCTGGGGCGAGCTTGTACCCCCTTAGCGCAAGCAGCTGGAAGCGTCTGCAAAATCTGGAGGAGGAGGAGGATTGCTACAAGCTGTAAATGCTCAACCCAGTAAAACTTCTTTCTAGGCCAGCAACTATGATGACCGAATCTGCCAAAAGGACACAGCACACCGAGGGTGGGTGTCGGGCTCTGAAGCAGCGTGCTGCTGAACACGGC